GTGATGCAACTGTCACCTTGGAATATCCTTTAGCAGCTCTCAACTGCTGATAAACGGCACACTGCATGAAAACTGAACAGTTTGCCTCGTCCTCAGAAACAATATCTGATGAAAACTGCCTTGAATTCCATGTTAAGTGGACTTGAACAAACACAGGCGCTTCGGATAAAATCCCTTAATAGAATTACCACTCTTCCTACGAAAAGTATACAATTTCTTAATGTTTAATCTTACAAAGAATCAGTACATTTTTGAGATACAATTGGCCCAAACCAATTTCCTCATTGACATTGTCAATAAAGATTGTCATTGTTAGAAGTTTTTTTTTTGGTCTGAAAGACCATAGGTTGGCCGAGGCCACCTGGATGTTGTGTGAACTCTCTAGATAAACATACGTGTTCTTTGGGCAAACTCTCCAAATACGTTTAAAAAATACACAATTGTTGATGCAATTTTCAACTGCAAGACTTCTACACTGAGAAAGGGGGCCAGTTACAAATCGTACCAAACAACCTCATCTAAAGTTGATGTTCCCCTCCAACTGAATAAACAAACGTGTTTCCAAGAGAGCACAAGAATACCCGCCTCATATTTGCCGAGACGCAAACCAATAGAAAAACATGGCTAAAAGCAAAGTTTTTGCTCTTCACTTGGGTTTAAGTATCACCTATATTTTGATAAAGACAAAAAATGTGTCTGAGAGCTGAAAAAAAATTAACAGGATCATGAGCGAAAAAGAGGCATGGAACTGGAAATTTTCAAGGGGATTACCCATTCGTATGACACACAAGAGATGTTTGCCATGAAAAGTTCACTCAAAAACTTAAACTGTGGTTTTTCGAATCATGAAACTAGAAATTTTCAAGGAGATTACCCATTCGTATGACACACAAGAGATGTTTGCCATGAAAAGTTCACTCAAAAACTTAACCTATGGTTTTCCAAATCTTACAGCCAAAAACATTTTGGAAAAACTGACCAATGATATTGCACAACACCAGACTTATACCACTCGACTCACAAACAACTTTCCCACTCGACTTTTATCATGACTTCCGGTCAAGTTGTTGAAACTTACAGACACTGCAACCGCAACCGATAACGGGGGGGAAGGGGGGGGGGGGGTGTTTGAGTATCACTCTCACTCAATCACTCCTCAAAATGTTTTTAGCATTACTCATGACGTTTTTTCCTCTTGAAAATATTTTAAAAATAATTTGTTAAATGACATGTTTTGAAATAGTTCTCCTAAATTCTTTTCCTGCTAGTTGTAACGATCGCTTCTATTCATAGCATCAACGATTTCTGTTACCCTTTGAAAGTTATTTAACACTCAAATATATAATAAGGGTTAAGGGTTTTCAAATCTTGACAAGCCAATTTTTCGCGTCGGCTTGATTATAGTCTGTTCCAAACCGCGCCCTTAGGCAGTTTGCATCATCATGAAAGCGTTTCATCCGGCCGTCAGTAGACAAAGTCTGACAGTAAGCCGCTATACGCTGGCAGATGGTCTATCATCTGACAGCGTCTACAGATGAACGTCTCGAAAGACTACGAGAGAAATCTGCAAAAAAGAAACCCGCAATGATTGAGTGGGACCATTAATTGCAAAGTTTATATGTACTTGAATAAAATGGATTACAATGAAAGCTAAAAACTGTGTCAGGATGATTTATTAAGGAAAGGTGCAGGTTCATATCGATAGGAACATGTATTATTACACTAACCTAATAATTAACGGCAGTAAATCAAGCTCTAAAGACTTCTGGAAAGCTTTAAAACAAACTCTACCTTCGTCTAAAACTTCCTCCAGGATTACCAGTTTGTTAGCTGATGGTGTCCTTCTCACCTCAGCTCAATCTATTGCCTCGACTCTTAATTCATATTTCGTGAACGTGGGTAAATCCCTTGCCGAAAAAATCGTTTCCGAACCGTACATAGCTAAAGCTACGGCCTGCCACTCGACTTTTACGTTTCAACCGATTAGTGAAGATTTTGTCTCAAGATCCATCAGTTCATTGAAAACCAATAAGGCCGTTGGTCTCGACAAAATTAGCGCGCGTCTTTTAAAAGATGCTGTGGACGTTATCACTCCTTCTCTTACGGCCTTATTCAATTTATCCCTTCAAACAAGAACATTTCCTTCGATATGGAAAACAGCAAAGGTTATACCCCTGTTTAAAAAGGGCGATAAATTGAATGCTTCTAATTACAGGCCAATTTCCATTCTCCCGACTGTAAGCAAGATTTTAGAGAAGGCGGTACATACTCAGTTTTATGCATATCTTACTGAGAATAATTTAATTTCACCCAACCAGTTTGGATTTAGATTGAAGTCATCTACTATTACTGCCACCATTCAGCTTTCTGATCAGATCCTTCACTCCATGGATAATGGTTGTCTGACCGGTGCGGTTTTTTTAGACCTCGCCAAAGCGTTTGACACTGTCAATCACTCAATACTGCTCCAGAAGCTCTCAACTTATGGTGTTGATGATGCTGGCAAAGCCTGGTTTACTTCATTCTTAACAAACAGAACACAAATGACTAGCTGTGATTATGCTTGCTCCAAAGCTGCCGCTGTATCGACTGGCGTTACTCAAGGCTCTATATTGGGCCCACTTTTATTTATAATTTACATGAATGATCTACCTGATGTTTTGCAATCCTGTCAGGTTACTTTATATGCAGATGACACTGTTTTATACCTCGCTTCCAAATCTACTGTAGACTTACAAAGTAAGATTAACGATGACTTAAAACGTATATGTAGGTGGCTTCGGGCAAACCAACTGACTCTGAATGTTCAAAAATCCAAATTTTTGCTTATCGGTAGTAGTTCCCGCTTGAACAAAGTTGAGTCCATACTTATTTCGGCTGATGATACCCCTCTCGATAACGTAGATTCTTTTACTTACCTAGGCATTGTGATTAATAACCACTTCTCCTGGACTGACCACATTGATTATATTCGTAGTAAGGTCAGTAGAAAGTTAGGTCTTTTAAGGCGTATTAAATCTTGCCTCCCCCTCAACGCTAGAATTATGTTTTTCAATAGTTTCATTTTACCTATTTTTGACTATGGGGATATCATCTGGGGAGATCGCGGAAATGCGTCCTTAATGTCTGAGCTGCAAGTGTTGCAGAATAAGGCCGCTCGCCTCATTTTAGACTTACCTGTTTATTTTTCCGCAACTGAGGCCCTAAAGAGACTTGGCTGGAAACCATTACTGCGTCGTAGAAAAGAACACCATGCCATCTTTTTGTACAAATTAATTAACAACCATTCATGTAATACTATTCCTGTCACATTTAATCGGGACTTTCATGGTTACAATACAAGATCGAGAAATGACGTTCGAAAATCCAGTGCCACAAGAAGATGGGGTCATTGGTCGTCAGTTAACTTTAGCGCAGATGTATGGAATGGTTTAGACATCTCACTAAGAAATGCAAACTCACTGCCTGCCTTCAAACGTGGCCTGTCTAAATTTAATTTTGAATTTTAATTTACCTTACTAGTATTACTCTTAGTTAATACTTTGTGATTAGTATTTTTAATTAGTTCTTAGATTTAGTTTTAGTTATTTGTTTTTTATTTGTAATTTATCTTTGTATTAGTATTTAATTTAAGAGGACCCTCCTGTAAACCACTTTTGTGACGCTGGCATCCTCATTAAAGATTATAGTATTATTATGTACAGTTCACATGGAGATCACGTGGAGATCTGTATCGAAAGCGCAGCAGTCTTTGCTGTCGTCTGAGGAATTGGAGTTTGAACCGGGAGATTATGAATCAGGAATCAGAGCGGTTAACGAAGAAGGAATCTTGAAGTGAATTGCGAAGTTTAGTTGAAAGTAAATTATGAATATCGAAAAAAAAAAAGGGTCAATAAATAATGAATCATTGGGCTAGGAAAAACGCAGGAATCACGAATACCAAAGGTCAAATGATTCCACTTTTTCCATTAACCCGACTCGATGGAGGACAACGCGGTTGATCAGCGGGTTATGTTGGCATGTGACTGAAACTTCTCCGAAAGCTTTAACTAAACTATCTTCCTTTCAGACAGGAAAAGGTAACCTCGCTGTACTATGATTTGTTCGTTTTCATAATATTACAACTGGAGTTGCGTGGAACCGAGGTTTGACAAAGTTTTTTGCTCAACAATCATTTTTTCCCTCGGGGGCGTACAAAGTTGAATGCGGCAACAGAGCTAAAGAGATGGCAAATCTCTGACCTAATTGCATTGAGTTAGACCATAAAAGACTGCTAAACTGTGCTTTATTTTATAATCTTTCTGCAGGGATAAAGATTATAAGCGAACTAATTGCATTAAATAATGCAGCCGCAGTGAAACACGACAAATTACAGGTGATCGGTCATGCCTACTTATGTGTGGGTTTCGTGTCAAAACATCCTGCCCTAGTTATTCCTGGTCTAAAAAAATAGATTTTGATCAATCTTTGATGGGCCCTGTTACTTCTAGAAGATAAAATTACCAAAAAATAAGCTAATTCTAAAAATAGATCTTCTTCCGGTGACTTGTGCGAGAAAGCTCTTCTCAGAGATGATTTTGAGAGGAGCAGGTTGAGTGGTGGAGGAAGTAAACTAATCATAGTCAAGAAAAATAGACAGGAAAAAGTGAGAAAAAAGCTTGGTTGTTATATCTGTGAGTGTGCCCCGTCATTATTTATCGTGGGGGAGGGGTGGTGGAAGATTTTTAGGGATCGCATTGTTTTCAGGGGAAACGGAAGGGGAAATCAGTCATCGTCAGGTTAGTATAAAGCGGAGACTAAAGAAACCTGACTGCTAATTAACTGCTGATGAGTGGTAATCAGTCAAAATTTACCGTGACAAATCCAAAATCCTCCACCCCCTTCCGCCCCAGCTGCGGCGATAAACATAAACAATGACCAGCATGATTGCAGCTGGTTACTAGATTACTGTTTGGTCATGCTGACACAGCAAGAGCGCGGTCACGTAGCGATCTCTTTCATTAAAATTTCCAAAGAGGACGGAAAGTCGGTGGCCTGAAAACAGGGATTTGGAGCTTTGACATTTGTTGATCCCAAGATGTTAGGCTGGGCAATAGCTTTGCCAATAATTGGAACCTACATTGTAACTTCTGTAGTCCTTTTAAACTTTCCTTGGCTCGTTCATAGGAGGAAACAAACGAAGTTCCGTTGTCGCCACATTAGTCATAGAGGAGGTGAATTTAGTGATTAATGCGACCTTAGATCGGTCGGCAATTATGCTGATCATTTTGGAATCTCGACTTTAACTTCGACGGACTTAATTAATGAACATGTTACAAATCTCTCCCTATGTGTCATTATATTATCAGTTTACCGAAAAGAAGATGGTCAACTTTTCTATAAGTTTTACGTTCTACATGTCGCCAAGTTACAAGTCTTTCTTTTAGTCTCTGAATAAGGTACATGTAGTAAACCATTCCTGATCCCGAGTTCTGATCATTTTGTAGCCTATTCCAAATATTCCGATATCTTAATATTGTTGTCAAGTTGAGGTGGGGCGGGTTGGTGGGGGAGGGGGGGGGAGGGTTATTGAGCAGCTCTCTGCGATCATGACATGCTAGTAAAAGCAAACAAAACATGACATGAAGTTTGGTTGCACAACTGTTTACTTACCCTTCCCTACCAAATAAAAGGCCTTGCACTTTCACTTGCAATCCTTTCCTTTAGGTGGAATTCAAGGAAAGTTACTAATTAACAAACTTTTTTTCTTGGGTGGTTTATTTCAGGGGCTGCAGAAAATTTAGAGAATACGATGACAGCCTATCATCAGTAAGTAAAATTTTGTATATACATACGTCTACAGATTTTGTACAAAATATCAATTTGCTTAATTTGGTTACCAAACAGCTCGTCCATTTTGGCCTTTTGTTTGTAACTTAAGGTGGCAATTTGTAATGAAACTTGCCCAAAAATAAACCTTTAATACATTTTGCTTTTATTTCTCCCTAAGTGCCTTAAAAATGGGAACAGAAATGCTTGAATTAGATGTTCGCCTTACAGCAGATGAACAGGTAAAATTGGAGATAAGACAGAGTTTTTGAAGGAAAGCAGTTTGCTTTATAGTAATTAACAACAAAGAAGTAGCTACAATAATTATCATTGACAATAGATGTATCAATTGTCAATTTCCAATTGTTTAGTGTGTAACTTGATTATTTTAACATAAAGCAGAGTTTAAAGTAAACAGAGAGTGATTCAATGAGATCAACTTTCTTTAGGAAAATTTTGTACTCTCCACTCAAAGGAAAATGTAGAAACCAATCTGAATTAGATCTTGGCATCCTTTAATTCCGACTAGGTTGTTGTATGTCATGATGATGAACTTTCCCGTGTAACAAACACAGACTTGAAGATTTGTGACTTGAATTTCAAGGTAACAATATTATTTATTTAATCTGTAATACTCATATCTGATCTTATCCCACAAATTATACGATACTGCTTTTGTCTGACTTTTAATCATTTGTGAGAGAATGATGCATCACAGTGAATGGTTTGATCAGAGGAGAACAATAAATTGCTCATGTAGTATAATTGTTAATGAGAGTAGTCCTGAAAAGGACTGTTGTCAGTAGTAATGACTGATTCAGAAATTTTAATGACCAAAGTAAAAGTCATTAATTGTCACAGTCAAGTGATTCCTGGTTTTAACAGTGACTCTTTACCCCTTTACACCCTAACATCAGCATGCATATTCTCCACACTGTTTTTACACATTTCCTAAGATGTTGAAAAGGAGAATTTGTACAACAAATCAAGAACTTCCTTAGTTCATTTCCTTTATTCACTTGACATTACTGTGTGATTCAGGGGTGATAATGTAAGTAGAATTTAGATACTAGTCCCTGTTTGGGGGAAATGGGTTAACATTGACTTTCATTCAGGTTGGAATTCATTAGGAATTCTAAAACAATTTCCTAAGTTAAAAAAAGCAAGAGTCTGAGTAATTATCAAGAGGTTTTTCAATGACCATCCTTTGATAAAAGTTCAGAGAAATGGTCAATTAGTGATAAATTCATCTAGCCAACCTCACAATCTCTGTCTCTTGAGGTAGATGAATATTAGCCATAAAATTGAAACTCTTTATCTATGAAATGACAGATTTTGCTCCTTTCTATCCTTTGATTTAGGATTTACCTCACCTTAGCAGAACACTTGCTGTACAATTTCAACCAGGTGACTCCTAATACAATGGATACGTTACTTTTTTACTTTTTTACCCAAGATCTCAATAGTAATTCTATTTACAGTTACTGTCTACCGTACAATTCTCATGATGTTAGTTTAGCTTTTTTTTACTTACTAAATGCCTGAAGCAGGCTACCCAATGTCTTACAAAAGTACCAACTGCCAGAGAAAATTTCTATGAAGTAATGCCAGTAATCTGCTCTTTGACTGGTCTAGAAGGCTCATGCATTTTACTATCTCAACATATCGGATAAAAAATTGACATAAATAATCAAGTTTAGATTGGTATTGATATCAATCAGCTGCTCAAATGTACATGTACTTTAAGCAGTTTTCTTGTTTTGCCAGTACTCGTAATTCTCACCAACTCCTTTTCATCTATTCTGTTGTTCTGACTAGCCATTGCGATTACATAAATTAGGTTTGCCACACTCAAAGAAATACATTCAAATGCTGTCTGGAATTGCTGCGACAGAGTTCTAAAATGTATGTTTTTTCATCAGGGGTGTCATGTGATATGAAAAACAATGACTGTCACATTCCACTGCTGGACACTGTTTTTGAGGCATTTCCTAATATTCCAATAAATGTGGATATCAAAACCAACTCTGATCTACTAATAGACAAGGTGAGTGTAGGGTAGGGAATCATTGTTGCATTTTTTTTCCCGGCTAGGTTAGATACCTATGTGTCTATATATCTAAGTGATTCCTCAAAATTTGACATACAGCAAGGTGCTACAGGGTTCCCAAAGTTATTGGTACCCAAACATTGCATTTGCAATGTATTGGTGCATTCTGAACTTTACAATTTTTGCAGCAAATCATTACAAATATTTTAAATTTTCACATTCAATATAGTCCTTTAATTCCCAGAAGTGATTAACATGAAACTTCTCCCTATAATATCCATACATTATCCAGCAAACAGGTAATGAGAATATTCAAACTTACTAAATGGAAGTTGCTTTCTTGATCTAATGTCAAATTCTTGTTATTTATTCATAAAGACATGTGTAGCAGCAAGAGGGGAGAATTAACCTTCATTTTAGGAGTAAAGGGGATAAAAATGTCAACAGCAATTTGTAAAATGCAGATTGGAGTAATTGTTTTGCTGTTGAATTGTGGCTGAGAGATATACTAAACTGAATGGCTCAAGTCTGAAACTGCATCATTTGAGCTGAGTTCACTTGTTGATTACTTTGCCATGTTCTCTCTTCTTAGACTCATGAACTGATCTCCAAGCATAACAGAAAGGATTTAACAGTTTGGGGAAACTTTTCTGCAGATGTTACTGAAAAATGTTACAAAAAGGTTTGTAAGCATCAGTGGTAAGATTTGAACTTTTAACTTTGTCAAAATTCCATGAAATATTTTTTATAGCTATGACTGACAGCAGCACTAACTTTTTAATTTTTGATATCAAGTTAAGTAGTTAACTCTAAACATTAGATGTAATGCCCAAGTTGTTCTATAGAATTAGAAACTATGCTTTCAATCAGAACTATACACAACTAGTTTCTGAAGAATATGAATTGTATTTGACTTGTGTCAACTTTTGTTTAATTCCAATCAGGATCCAGAAATTCCAGTTATGTTTTCAATGAAGCGTTGTGCCATACTGGTCTTCTTGTTTTATTCTGGTTTACTGCCATTTATTCCTATCAAGGAATCCTTCTTAGAGATCATGTTGCCTGTCACGATGATCAGGTAAGTACATGTAAGTGTTGATATTAACCTTTACAGCCTAACATCAGTATGCATATTCTCCCTACTGTTCTTCATACATTTCCAAAGAGGTTGACAAGGAGAATTTGTTTCACAATCATGCGCTGCTTTAGTTTGTGATCATCTTCTCTATTCTCATCACTTTCATGTTTGATTCAGGGGTGAAATTGTAGGGAGAAATTAGATGCTAATCACTCTTAGGGGCTAAAGGGTTAACGGCAAGTACATAGAGCAAAGGTGGTGTTAAGAGCAATCAAACTTTCTATATTTCCAGTAAGAATTTTCAGGAGACCTATTAACATGTACCTTTTAGTTCATAATTTCTGGCATGGGAATACTGATACACTAGTTGTTTTTATTATTGACAGTTTTTGGTTTCACTCATTCTTTTGTTATACCACAGACGTTTTGAAGTGCCTCGCACTATGAAGATCTTGTGTCATATAGTTGACTGGTGAGTACAGGGGAACATATCAGGATGTTAAATAACTTTGGGTACTTAGACGAATTTGATTTGGCTAAGTGTACCTTGAATTGACCTTTACTTTTTTTTTGTTTTTAGGTTTTTAATCAGCCCAATCCTTTTCAACCATTTGGAAAAGAGAGGAATCCAGGTCTGTAACAATACATAATCCAAATGTAATGGGTAAAATAGAAAAAAGCTACTTACAATGCATTTCATCTAATAACATATATATACTGTTAAGAAAAGTGGGAAGGGAAATCTGGCCAACCATGTACCTCAGGTCTCAAGGTTTGCCAACCTAATAACATTTGAAAGATAACTCTCAGAGATTTCTGACAAATGAAGACTGTACATTACAACAATAAAAAGTAAACTGGAAACAGAAGTTAAGTTGAATATATACATATAATAATATGGGTTTGTTTGCTTGTTTGTTTGTTTGTCTTTAAAAACACAATGCACTGGTGGTGAATATGGAGATCCTTATTTCACTTCAAACTTCATGAGAAATCCAAAATTCTCTGGTGGTACTTTTTGAGCCTACAAATTTTCCTTCTTTCACCAAATTTGTCACCCAAAACAGGCCTCAGGGTGTAAATTTCAACAAATATTCACAACACCATTGAACACTTTTATGTTATTAAATCATCAATTATATTTTGTTCAACAGACCTACTTGTGGGTGCTTAATGAAGACAGTGAGTTTGATTTTGCTTTTAACAAGCTCAAGGTTGCTGGTGTCATGACAGATTATCCCACAAGACTCAGGGACTATCTGCGCAGTAGCAATTTAAATCCTGGGCAGCCTGTGCCTACTGCTAATGGAAGTGAAAGGAGTGAACTAATTAAAAAGGATTAAACATATTTGAGTTAATCTTTAGAGTAAAGTAGGACATTTTAAACAGATCTTTAATGGAGACCTATTTGTTTTGTTGCTAAGCTAAAGCCAAACAAACACTATGTTGGATGGTGTAGTTTGACTCTAAGTTTTGATATGTTAATTCAACAGAGATGTAAAATAGTATCAAATAATGTCTAAGTTTCACTGGGCTGGTCTATAAGGTCTGGAAATTCCATTCAACTGAGTTTAAAAAGTATGTAAATATACTTTAATTTGTAATTCCAATTAAACTCATATCATGAGGAAAATGCTGAAATCAAGAAGGCCATTTACCTGTAGATCTAAAGAAGAGAACAGAAAACATTCATGGAACTTGAAAATAACTTCTTACTGACTAAGCTTGAGGGCTGTGCTGTAGGTAATGACTGAAGGCCAATATTCCCTAGTATGGCCTGAAGTGAGGTTAGTAAGTAGTTTATTATATGGCACCCTGGCTAAACTTTTTTATTTTGAATTTGGCAGTTTTGAGAACCAAAAAATTCACAGCTTATGACCATTTCCCTGGAAAAGATCTGTATGGCAAAATCCAGACCAAGTAAGAACCAATCAAAATTCTAAAATTTACTGAAAGACTACCTTGCCATATGATAACAACAAATATTGTGAGGATAAATCAGAAAGCATCTCCCAAAGAAAATAACTGAGTCCCCAGTGATGGCATGAACCTTTGACCTTCAGAACGTCTTCTCACTGAGTTACAGAGAGTTTGTTGTTGACTAAGGCCATGAACTGAGCTCATATGTAACAAGCATCCTGTATGCTGTTAGAGTTAGTTGTGTCAAGCACATCTTGTGAGGAAGGGGAGTAAAAAAGACAGTTAAAAATTGTATACACATTTCTTTGAAGTAGAACATATCCTGTAAGAATTATTGGAAAAATATTTAGTAGATTGGCATTCCCTCCTACTAAAGAATTTTTTCTTTAGAACATATGAGTAACCATACACTACTAATACAAAATTGGTACATGCTGATCAAATTGTAAACTACAAGGCTACAAGTTATTTTATTTAATTAAAGACAAGATTATTTTTTTAAGATTTAGTTCTTGCAACACATTTTTCTGTAGAAGATTATAACTGAATATCTAGAAAATTCTATTTCAATTCTCAATTCTAAATACATTACACATAAATTGTCCTACATGTAAATCTTAACAATAAATAGCTTTTACTTTATGATGTAATGACTTTGTGATGTTGTAGTCTCTATTTAACAATAAGTTAAAACATCTAATGTATCTCTGCAGTGTAAGTGAAGTCTAGAAATAAATAACTATTCTCATTGACATTGTGATTTCTCATTAATTTGAGTAATTTTCTGCGCAAAAATTGTAAAATTCATAAAATTATGTTCAGAAGTGAAAGATGTTTTATTTTTATTTTTTATTTTTAGTGAAAAAAAATACCAAAAAGTCTTAAGCTAGCAGATTTGCAATAGAGTTTATCCATGATGCTAGCTGATGGATTTAAATAATAACAACTTATTCTTGGCAGAAATTCCTAATAGGATCTTTTTATCCTTAGGTATGCACCAATTCTATCAGTATGGATTTAATTTTTTTTTCGATTATGAAGAAAGGCTGGTCAATCACAACCAAAAAAAATCCTACTGGAATCTATTATATAACCTATAATAATGACACTCAATTTTACTTTTACCCAGTCATCAGGTGAATCACACTCTAAGGAAAGTGCCCTATTGAGCAGAAGCCAGGGTGTGTAAAATTGAGATGATGAAGTAGGTTCTTTGGATGTGGTACACTATGTAACACAGTTCAACTTTTACTCAGATGACTTAGAAATTTGTTATAAGGAGGGAGGTCTGTTTTCTCAAATGTCTCTATTCATTATTATCCTGTATTTCGATAACTGTGGTAGCCTCTTCCACTTTTTCCACAGCAGTCTTCTTCACTTGCCCCTCATCTGTGTCCTGGTTACAAGCTTGTTCGTTAACCACAGCCACTTGATCATGCCCTCGTTTCTTTGGTGATGTATACCCATACAAGGCCTGTTTACTCATGTTCATGGCATCTGACAATTCAGCAACAAACTCAGCCAAGTCAATGGTCACTTCTTCCCAGTGCTCATGATCAAATTCAAAGCAGGTTTCTTTGTTTTCACCTTTCAATCTCTCCAGTAAGACACCCTTAGACTTACCCCTTATGAATAGGTATGTTTGAAGCTGTATGTAATCATACTCTGGGCACATAAATCGGTTTCTTCTGTTTTTAACTTCAATAACGCTATCTTCTGTCTCGGCATCCACTTTACCGCATACACTCCACTGTATTCCGTTGTACTCCATATCCTGGTAGAACAGATGAGGTGCGATCGGACGTTCGATCTCGATCCCTTTCACTTTCTCAAAATCTTGCACAGCTTTTTCCTCCAATTTTGTTCCGCGATCCTTGGTAATTTTGGACTCCACTGCTTTGACAACTTCCTTCGTGTTGATCCCTTGTTTGTCACAAATCTCTTTCACGGCAGATTCCACGAGTTTTTTTTCGTTCTCACAAAGTGTCTTCACCTCGGTTGTAACACGTTCGATCACTTTTGCTGACTCGAGGATTTGTTCTTCTTTCTCGTTCTTCAACAACTTTGCTTTCAGAAAATTCAGAATTTGCCCGTACAATCTTCTGAAAGACATGTCGCAGATTACCTTTCTAACAGCGGAAGCAAAATCGACGGGGTCGTCTTCTTTTTCCAAAGATGGAAACTGAATCAACAATTCTTCAGAAACTGCCAAGATTGGACGAACGTCGCTTTGAAACCTCAAAGCAAACGCAAAAACGAATGATTGCTGATGCGATCGAAGCCAGACTCGCTGAAATGTTTCTTCTCTGGATTGATATCTATGCCGTCCAATTGCGCTGGCTAATTCGCTGGCAAAAATTACAAGTTTACGTCGAGAACAAACGCTCGTTGCCTTTGCCATATTGCCGTTTCGAAGTTATGTCGGTTTCATGAAATTAACATTTGTTTATAAATCGCGCGCTGGCGCGCCGGAAATGTATCATTTACAGGGGAGGGGTAAGGCAAAACGAAAATTGGAGAAATGAAAGCAAAAAAGCTTTGAAACGCGATAACATGTTCAAAACCTGCAAACACAACTTATCAACTTTAATTTCGCTTTATATTGAAGAATATTTCGAAGATTCAGATATTTTTCCACATCATTCCAATAACCCGACCCCTACCTGGAGAAACATGGTTTTCACCTCCGGTTGAACAACAGTCCGGGCAAGTTTGAGCGCGTTCGGCACCTGCTGCGGGGACAGAGATGCGGTCCCCACTTGCAACAGAAAATTGGTCCGGGAATATAAGTCTTGCTAGATTTTTTTGAGAATTACTAACATTGTTTAGGTCAGAGATTTAAAGCTTATATCAAAATATTCAAATTACAACTTGCAAATTTGTACAAAGAAGCTTTCAAAACTTTCTATACTAGTCACAAAATCACCAAAAGTAATATAGTCAAGTGCTCTGACGACGTTCTTGTTTGCAAAACTTAAAATGTTGTTCTTAAAGTTATTATAGAAAAATATTCTTTAAAACTTCTTCATTATTTCCTCGCTATTCGTGTTTGGATATGGAAGAAACCACATGAAAGCTAACTGGTGAAGAGTTCCTGTCATATCACACAGACCACACTTCCACGCATGCGTTAAACTTCCGCTGACACAGAACCCTTCTAGGCGCAGATCTTTTTCAACCAGTGACGTGAACTGATGACAGTCTGGAATATCCTCATTCGGAACAATAAAATCAATCGATGGAAGATGGGAACCAATGTAATACTCTAATTTCTCTCCAGAGTCGTTCACGCTAAAGAACTGATGGCTTTGACAATTTTCATTACCATCACTAAGTGAGATAAAACTTCTGCAGGTATCTTCACTAAGGTTGTAATCCTTTTCAGAAGCGTATCGCGTGACAGTTATCACGCAATCACGACCAACGACGAATTTGACAAATTTGTGAAATTTTCGTCGCGTAGTTTCTAAAAGGACGCTTTTCCAGTGGTGATAACTTTCTGCTAAGTCTCTTTTTTGTTCCTCTATTGCAATATGTGGGATCACAGATGGATAGGATGCAAGCTCACGAATAAGTTGCTCTAACTGGAAATAGTCCGCCTCGCGATACACTTGTAGCGCAACGCAGTGTTTTGGAAGTGACGCGTCACGCAAGTAATTTAAGATATAACCAAAGTATTTTCCATCGCGATCAATAAAATATCTTCCTTCTTTGTCCAATTCAAGTTTGTATCGCCCACTGAACATTGCAGCTAACATGGAATCTTCGTCTTTCAAAAGCGTGGAAAGGCGAGTGGTGAAGAAATGTCCGCCAACATTGAGGGAAATTATCGTCGGGAGCTGAGAAATGGCAACAAAAAAATTGTATTAATTTTTTCACGGCTTCGATTTCGCTTCCTATTTCCTTTTGAAGTGCAGAACCAGGGGTCCAAATTTGATTATTTTCATTTTTTAAAATAACATGTTTTTCTGACCATTACGATCGACTGCTTTGATTAAGTCTAACGCATATAAAGCTTTGTAATGTAACGAGAAACATTTTGAAAACAGTAAAAATTGTGCACACTTCAACCTTCGACAATATCAAGCTTTTTTAGCAGCACAATTAGGAACCAGATAGATGAAAGAAGAGTTGATATTCGTAAAAAATTTCCGAGTCACTGTAGAAAAGCAAAATTCAGAATTATTTAAAGCCAAATTTGCAAAATCAATGTTGGAGGAAACGCTCCAAGTATTCAGTTTGAAATTTGAAGAAATACTATGACTTATACAACGTATTTCTGTGCTTTACCCAAATAATTATTTGACAACAAATGTACTATTTTACCGTCATTTTTTGTTCCATGGTTTTTTCGGAAGTCGATGCAAGAAGTCGGACGAGGTTGACTCGCTCATGCGTGAGGTAAACTGACAATTTTGTTGCTTAGAGCCATATATTTAAGGTAAAAGACTAATTTACATATAAAAGAAATCCTTTCAAAATTGTGGTGTTTGACTAAGATTCTCACGAAACCGACACGATTTTTCATCACGAAACTGCTTTCGCGTTTATTTCATTACGTGTCTTAATACTCTACTAATTTCCCTGATTTTTAACCTATACTTTTAAAAAGAGTTCAGATAAAAATAAGTTTGACAAGAAAGTTAATAAAAATTGTTCGAAAACGGCTCGTGTCTTTGTGACATTTTCCGTTGTGACGAGCGCGTGACTTTCAGCGTGATTCAAAAGATGAATCCACTTAAAAAGAGTCACTCTTGCACGCAACAGTGATCATAGCTTTCCTGGCCTAAAAAGTAAAATAATTTCATTAGGATTACACTATTCTTCACTCTTAAAGTATTTCTTATGTTAACAGAGTGACATTCAAAGGAACTAAGGGCAATATCTTCGTTAATCAGCGTTTCGTTTCTTTTTTTTTTTTTTTTGGACACTATATTGTACTTATTTTCTGTAACAGCAAATATCTGTGATTCTTTGAACGCCATTTTTATTCCTACAAAAGTTTTAATGCTATCATTTCTCGTTATCCTTTAAAATCTGACACGCTTCCCCGGAACAAATGAAGTTGTCAACTACACGGCTCTGTGTAAATAAATTCAGATTCAGTCACGAGATTATATTAATCAATACCACGTTCTCCAAAATTTGCATTTTGTGGCTCAGAGGACGTGACATACGTAACTTTGATGTTGGCCGCTTGATCACGAAATATGAATTGAGGTGAAATCATGATACTCCTTTTGCTGACTTGTGCCATGAAGCGCTTCGACACAGCCAATGTTTCGTTGAAATTTTGTAAAGGTTGTTTATTTAAAAAATATAAGCCTATGGATGAGCTTACGAGTGACTCACGGTACTAAGAAGCAGCATGATGGGTATTGAAGTGACTGAAAGCTTGCACGGGTTATGTCCAGGCACACACTGCGTTTAAGACGCGTCTAGAAAGCATTTCACGAACCATCGCGCCTACTCAGCCGAAAAATATCTCGAAAATGTCTGATAGGAGAGTATATTTTCATAAATCTTAGCCTGAAATCGGCTTCTTCGCTTCCAATCAGACTACACGTGAGAAAATCAACAGAAATACGGACAGCAACATCATCTTTCCCGGAGGTCGCTTTCTTGGCATGCTAGCCAAACGAAAAAAAAAAAAAAGATTTATGGAGACATATGGTTACTTTCTTGCAAGATCCTCTGAATGATGACCAGTTAGCTTGTGACCTGGTACGACTCGGGTGATGAATCTGAAAGGAATACTTGTCATACCATAGAATACAAATTTGATGATAATAATAATAAAAAAATTGAAAAAATAATAATAATTGTAATATAAATTATATTTACAAGGCGAATAGTAAGAGCACTATTACTCATAGCTTTGTACAGCCTGAGTGTTCACGATTTACAAAAGTTATTCATCAACTTGACCAGATGTACAGAAAAAATATTGTCCACAGTTGTAGAACGCGAATAGACGTTGATAGCAGTTTACTTCGAGCTTGGTCCATACATCCTATCAAAAAAAGCCACGACTATTTGTTTGAGATTAAAGACCGTCAAACCGTTCATAACCTCACGTTAAATTTGGCTGCTAAGAATGTTTTGCTGCTGAAGAGCCCTCGCAAGTATTTTCTTTCGCCTTTGACGGAATAATGCTACAATTTACTTGTGGTTGTTATTTCTCTGTAGGCGAAATAGTCGCATTGATGGTTGGCAATGTCAACTTAATAGAGCTGGCACTGTGGCGATCGAAGTAACCCGCATAATAGACGCGGATTATGTTCTTGCTTGGCACAGGTTTGTAGGAAAAGACTGCGAAAACATGACGATTTCCAGGATTCCCTGACCTTCCAAGAGCAACAGGAGAGTTCTCAATACTAGGGTAGTTCCCTCGTATGTTTCTTTTAATTTACGGACGAATGAGTGGAACATTTTGATCGGAATTTCAAGCCATTCTTGTGTCACCAGGAGCTGAAATCTTTGAATCCGCCAGATACTTTAATTTTCTTTTTCGATTGTTGCGGTGCGAGGTCAGCAGTTTCAGCATCCCTGAAAAAGTTGGGCCAAAAGATTGAAGAAAAAGAACGGCAATGGCAGCATCTCGTGCAAGAAAAATACAAGCGAAAGCTAACTCCAGGGATACTGGATATTCTCCAACTCAGACAAAGAATTGTAGAAAAAAAACAAACAAACAAAGCAAAGAAATTGCACTTTTTAAACTCTGATTTTACGCTGAAAGACAACCTTGCACTCCCAAGGAGCCTTCAGAGGTTTTAACAAATGAAAAACTACTTAATTTTCCGAAAAAAAGAGTTAAACGGATATATCCTATCATACCTTGACGCTGGCTTCTGTTTAATATATTTTCCAACTCCTGACCGGTAAACCTTTGGTGCCTCTGCTGGCGTGGCAGCCGCTTTCTTTTTGCGGGCGGCTTCTTCCTGAACACGCGGAAAATGAAGGAAATTTTACATGAACTAATTCGAATCACATATTGCTCACGCACTGTACAAAGATCACCCAACAAAGGTTCACTTTTATCTCACTGTTCAGGAGGTTTTACAATCAGTATCCATTTATTATCAACAGCTGTCTCACTACTTAACGAGCATCTACCGCCCATTTGTAGCACAAATCTGGGAAAATTTCATACCGAAAAGCTTAAACAACTCTGTATACTGAAGAGACACAGCTGTGTTGATCAGTAATAGCCTTTAACGCACAGAAGTGATTAAAATGTAACTTCTATCCATAATAACCATAAATTATCCAGCAAACTGGTGATGAGAATACTCAAACTCATCAGGTGGAAGTTGTCATCTTGATCGAACACGAAGTTCTCGTAACTCAATTACAGGAAGATAAGTAGCAGCTAGAGGGGAGAATTAGTACTCAGATCTTGGGACTTAAAAGGGTTAAGTTGTTCCTGCCGTACAGTTAGGAAAACGAAGAGCGATCATAAACGACGCGATAGTCGCTGGGGAGTGAAAAAAACGAAGGAGAACTGGGTCCCTTACACGACCGAACCAACACCTCCCCTACTACTGTCGCGCCGTTTACCATTTCACGCGGATTTCGCACCACTTAACAGGCTGAACGCCTGGAACATCAAAGTTGATAAAGGATATTCAACCCAGCTCAAACTGTATTCTCTCGACGACGCATTTCCACATCTTAAGGTTTAAAAGCTTTTTTAAATGTGCCTTTCGGTTAAAGGACAACAGCCGGCAGAAAATAGGAGAGCAGAAAGTCTACGCCCGTCCCAGAATCCCAAGTGTTCTAGTAAGGCTTGAAGTTACACGTGCGTTTATTGGATTACTTCGACCAAATTGGAAACTTGGAAACAGAATTGACTAAAACAAACATTAATGAAAAAAAATACCCTTGCGTCATTTTCCAAATTTACCTGTTGTTTTTCTTCTTCTTCCTTTTTCTCTCGCTCTTTTTGAAGCTGAAAACAATAAAAAAACCATTTGCTTGTTTCATTTTTATTGATATCACATATCTCTATCAAGCCTGCGGGAGGAAGAGAGAGCCTGGGAACAACGTAGGCACAAATACATATGTCGGACACAAATATATAAATCGGACATTAGTTACCGAAATCGGACACCAGTGTCCAAAATCGGACACGAGAGTCTATAATCAGACACTAGTGTCCAAACTTGGACACTGCCTTACAAGTTTTTTTCCCTCCTATCAATGCTTTATATCGCTTGGACTTAAAATTCGTCAGGTAAAAGGATTGCTCTACTGGTTTTAAAATTCATTTTAAGCTGACATGCTTAAAATAAGGGAAATCACTGGATTATTCAATCAAAAAGTAAAAGAATTATACTAACCACAGCGTCAACTTCTTCGAAAGGATTCACAAACACCGTGGCTTTGATTAGCTTGATCACTTCCTAAAAAGAAAATACAAAGAATGAATGATATAAGGGGTGCATACATACATTATAAGGGTGAGGGACTAACCGTATAGACTAAATGTCAACATTTTGATGCTATATGAAGCGAAGTCGAGTAACTTCGTTCAGCAGTCAGCAGTCGTGTTTACCATTGAAGCATGAGCCAAACCTCTTAAACTTTGTTAATGCCTTTTTATCTTTTCTTCCACTAATACCTTTGGTCGATCTTTTTCGTCAGTTTCTACTCTTTCCAAAGCGCTTAATGTTTCGAGCCCACCAACCAATCTGAAGACAGAAAAAACACCAGTAAATTGATAGTTAACTAAGAACACAATTGGATCAGTGTCTACCGTGGTATATAACGTCAAAATCCTTAATTTCTTGAGACATAAACCTCTGATATGAAAAAAAATAACAACAACAACAACAACAACAACAACAACAAAAAAACACAAGGGGATAAAATTAGTAACATTATTACCTGCCAAACACGGAATGTTTTTCATCCAAATGACGACAGGAGCGATACGTAATAAAGCTTCAAGAGAGAAGAAAAGGCTAAGATTAAAATAACTAATCAGAATATGGGACTTCTGATTTTTTTAAAAAAAGTACCATTTTTCAATTGTTGAATGGTATGTTAACAAAAAGGTTGCGAGCTTTCTAATCAGTGTTTCACGATTTCCTAACAAGAAACAACAGGTGGAAGTTTCTCAAGGAGTGATACTTACAACTGGGACTTATTTGTATTTGGTCCTGAATTTGCCATACTTAGAATGCCTCTCCCTGAAGAAAAAAAGACAATTGCTTTCAGTGTCAAATTTAACATCCACGAAACATTTTCGTTGAAGATGACGGCGCCTTGACAATTTTCTCCAACTGGCCTTATGCCGCAGAAATATCACGTCTTCAACATTCTCACCTTGATGTATCAAATTCGGTTTGAACTCGTCTCTGAATGGCTCTCCCCAGGCCGACTCACCACCTGCCAACCAAAGTAAAGCACAAAACCATGTATCTGTAATAACTTTTGATCAATACAGTCATTAGAGCAGTTTTAAACTAAATGTTGAAAAACCTGGGCACATCATCGACAGGACCAAACCATGAATAGAAATAATATGAAAAAAAAAGACAAAAAATTCTGGAAGAAATATGATATGACAGGGTGCCCGGTTTCTGGCGGTATTTGGTAAAAGAGAGCGTCAGTCAAAAGCTTTACCTCGCCCTGTTCCAGTAGGATCTCCTCCTTGAATCTAAAGGGAAAAACCATTTGAACGAAAAGACAACGTTACGATTAAAAAAAAAAAAGTTTAAAAGCCTTCAAAAGCAATTTTTACCATAAGTAACAATCCACATGAAGTGACAATTTGTATTGTGATCGAGAGGGAACCTTTCAGTATTATGGAATCACTTACCATAAAGTTCTTGATAGATCTGTGAAAGACTAACAAAGAAAAAATTATTATTACCAGCATGCTATACAGACTTAATGGATAATATCAAAGCTAAATGAACAATCCACAAAAAGAAATCAGATATAAATATTGCAAGCTTGACACTTCTTCAGATTTTTGGAAAAAAATATTTGTCACGCTGTCATGTCCAATATTCAACCTTTGACACCTAAACTTAGTATAATTTCCCTCTCAATTCTAGTGCAAAAAGATAAGATGCAAACAAATCTGTCTGAATATTGGTAAACAAAAGATCAGTGAACTCACTTGTGTTGTCATAGTAGCCAGAAGCACAGAGTTTTATAAAATTCTCACACGTCTTTGAAACCTAAAAAATAAGAAGACTAATTGATCAAAACATGTACACACGCATCACAAGTTCGTTTATGAGGAAATGTGTGCAAATAATAAATTAAAGAATGATCAATTGAGAGACTCACTGAATTAGTCAATCAAGTAATCTAAGAAATTCAGAATGTTAGCACTCCTTACCATTTCACAGTGAAGTTCCAAATTAAGATCACCATGATTTGTCTGCAGTCTCACATAACCTTGACAAAAAAAAAACTGAACTGGTGACTACAAATCATATCTCTACTTCGTGTCTCAACATACATCAAATTTCTCACCAGCATGAGAAAACAACAAAAGTTCTAGACACAGGCTCTGACCATACCTTTCTTTTTCACTTCTCTGTATCTCACTATATCCTGATCAACAATAGCTAAAAGTAAATTTAGCAATAATAAAAATCAGAAGAATCAAGGCCAGCTTGTATAATAATATACTAGAGAATGTATTTCTTTAGCAGTCAAAAAAAAAAAAAAGAAAAAAGAAAAAGAAACTGCCTTTCTAGGGGTGATCCAATTACCACTGACCCAGTACAGACATTCGCATAGTGACCCACAAAGAATAAAACCACCCAGTCACTCTTTATGTTTTGAGGGTTAAGTTGGGAGAAAGAGAGTAAGGGAAAGGAACAGTATGCATATTCTCCATACTGTTCTCCAAACATTTCCAAAGAGGCTGACAAGGAGAATTTGTTTCACAATCAAGAGCTGCTTAAGATGGTGATCATCTCCTCTATTCTCATGACTTTCATGTTTGATTCAGGGATGATATTGTAAGGAGAAATTAGATGCTAGTCACTCTTAATTGCCAAAGGGTTAAGGAATAAATATGAGAAATAGATAGACCATAGATAAGTGATATCATCTAGCATACAAGAATGAAAAAGGAAGTACGTATTAAGAGAACATACCTGCCTCCTGTTGAGTGACAGGTATTTGTGCAGTGGATGTGAATGAGCTGGCTACAGCACCAGTAGAATAATGAGCCTGCATGACACCATTAAGAAAAGTTAGAAATAATCATTCACAATATAAAATATTACTTAAGTCTTTTTGAATACACAATCATACATGTACCCTCCTTCTGAGGGTTGAAACTCGGTTTGAATTGTCAGAGTTTGGATGACAATCTGTTTCAGCAAAACTGAAAAAGCAATTTGTTGATGGATCACTATAACTTCACTTTTTCAAGTGTTCCTTGGAATTAGCATTAAAAATGAGCAGTTGTTTTTCACTAAGTTGTGATTATATTTTTAACTTCTGAAGTTACTACAGCAGCACTTGACCCTCTTTAAAAAACACTCTTAATTTTTACTTTGAGTTGCTGTGACTGAGAACCAAGTTTGACAACCCAAGTTTTTCTTACTGGATTGTAATTGGCATATCAAAATTCACCTTTCTGCATGGTCTAAACAGACATGTACATGTAAATGTACTCTCAGAGCAGAGGAATCTCAAATTGTCAAAACAGGTGGCTCTATGCCAACCCTTGTTAAAGAATCACATAGAGAATAATTATGTTGATTTGCTGTTATTAAAGGTTAATATGGAAACACTTCAAGCAAACTTACAGCATTTCTCTCTGTAAGTGATTCACTTGTTTTCTCTGTGCTCTTCTTCTCCTGAAAATAATTATTAATTAAATATGTCTATGAAGTGCAAGTTGTATTTGATACCAAAAAAGTGCAAACTGCATTTCTCTACTAGAAAACAACAGTTAACATAGAATTGTAGTAAAGTAAAACAGCTGACTACAAAATGACATACAGATGACTTACAGGTTCTTTGAAAGTTTTTTCTAGTTCACTCAGAATACCAAGGGTGTCTTTGTTAGCCCTGTTCAAGTAGTACTTTGGATCCTTCTTGGCTTTTTCCTCCTCTAAGGATGGACAAATATAAAAGACAAATATATTGAGCTGATGACATCTAAATCTAAAGCAATACAAAATCCAATTCATAATCAACACTAGCAGCATCATCACCTTAATCATCTGTCACAGTGGTCATCATTACAACTATTGTTACAAGGCCATTATCGTAAGTGGTCTCAAAAAAACAAGGTAGGAAAAAAGGCTATGTCTTTCTGTTGATCGTGCACTGGACGGACAATTAGAAGTAGCTCACAGTCTGATAGAAGTCATTACATCACCAAGCCAGGAATAAATGCAGGCTTACCTTCATTAACCACTTTCAAATTGTTCTTTAGATGATGGAAATTTGCAAGATTAAATTTGTCAAGACTTGATGGATCCTGCATTGAAGAAAAAGTAAATAAAAAATCAGATACAATATGTGTCACTTCTTGTGAGTGTGCAATCAACTAACCACACATGACTTAATTGTTTGACGCCTAAGAGTGACAAGCATTTAGTTTCTCCTACCAATGTCACCCCTGAATCACACATTAATATCACAAGAATAATAAATAATAATAATAAATAAATACTTATTCGGCACAAATATCATCCCACCCCAGGGGAGGACATCCACCTCACCCTGAATCACACATTAATATCACAAGAATAAAGAAATTGATCACCAGCTGACAAAGTTCTTGATTGTTAAACAAATTCTCCTTGTCAGCACCTTAGGAAATGTATAGATCAGTAAGGAGAATATGCTAGGGAGTAATGGGTTAATGCATGTGAACTCCCACTTGGATGCTTTCACTTGGCAGTAAGGAAGGATTGTTTGGTCTTGTCAGTGTCTAAAACGCTGTACATTGGAAAGCTCATTGATAAGGAAGATCACCACTTAAGATCATCCAATATCCCTATATGTAGATCTTAGCAGTGCTTGCCCTTAATTCTGCATAATAGTTAAAATAAATTTTTCAACTGGTAGAGCAATCCTTTCACCTGTTGGATTTTCTCCTATGGCATTCAGTCCAAAGTGAAGCATACCTGAATAGTTATAATGTCTTTGCGTGTAAATGGTTCATCAGTCAAAAGGTCTTTGAAGTTCTTGGTTTTAAGGTTTAACTGTTCTACTGCCTATTAACAAAAACAAATTGTGACATTGTAACAATTGGCAATTGCAGAATATTTGTCTCATTCTAATAGGTTTTCCCACAGTGCCACAGTTAGTGGCAAAATTGTTATTTAGAGATTTCCCCTTCTTAAAGCCAAATTAGACCATATATTTAACCTTGTACAAAAATGATATCAACTTCCATTACTTAAATCTTTGAGAAGGGGGAAGACCAGAAATGGTTCTTTTTGAATGAGAAATAAATCATGACTTCTTCTAAAATCACCTAATGTCATTTGATCATGAATTTTTCTCCATTTCACAGTTGAATATCACCCCAAACAGTGAATCACACATTAAGGTCATGAGAATAAAGGAAATGATCACAAACTAAAGAAGCTCTTAATTGTTAAACAAATTCTCTTCATCAACACCTAAGGAAATGGATAGTAAACAGAATGTAGAATATGCATACTGATATTGGCATATAAAGGGTTAACTGATAGAGACACAAACCATTTGAATTTATCCATTGATGGTAAATAGGACAAACATACCTCAAAGGAGAAGACATTTCCTGTTGTTTTGACTGCTACAATATGAGTGTTGCTATTAAAGACCTTGAAGGTGACAGGACAGTGATACTTATCTGTAAAAGAAGACAAAATCTGAAATAAATTACCAATACAGTGATTAAATATTTGTTTCAAGAAAACTGTTCAAAAATTTTTCAAAAAACCTTACCCTCTGCATTCTTGTGAAAATTTAGTTTTGTTAGCTCTTTGGCTTGCAAAGTCTGTGGAGAAGGAATTCTTATCATCATGTGATCGCATTCATTAGAATGTGCACTCATACAGTAGATTGTATACTGTATACTATAACAACTTTCTTTTAGAAAAATACAAAGAGCCTACCTACAGAAGGTATTTTGTGTGTATTAAGTGCATACCTCTCCAGTGACTGGGTTTTTACCATACTTCTTCAGATATGGAACAATGTTTCTGTAAATTTATGAAAAGAAGTAAAATTTGTTATTTGTATAATTATTCATAAAGTCAACTAAGTATGAAAAACAAAACAAACTGTATGAGAAACCCCAGTAAAAAACATCAACATTTTCATGAATTCTCATTTCTGAAATCTTTAAAAATTCACTTTACTGTATCTGATTTGTCAGATTTGTTAGATCAGATTTTATCTGATTTGATGATCAGTTTGGTATGTCTAATACTGGGTAAAAAAAAAAACCTGTTCTTCTCCAGCACAAGATAAAAATTTTCATGTGACATATTAGTTTAACATGTCATTGATAAAAGATTTTTACTGAGGTAGAACAGTATAAAGAATTTGCATACTGATGTTAGTGTGTAAGGGGTTGACATGTAATTGATACAATATTTATACTAGGGTTTAAGACAAAGGAGAATACTACCACCTCTACCCTTTTTTATTTGACCCCCTTGTATTTAGGAGCTGAAGCATAAACTAGCATGAACATAAATGTTGTACAACTTACAGCAAATCAAATATAACGCCATCTTTTGTACAAAGAGGATGTTCAAATGGCTGCATGGAAAGGCTGAAAATTAATAAAATGGGAAAAAATATATTTCAAATGTCCACAATTTATAAAATAGAAACAAGAAAGACGTACTAGCTTTGAAAATCAAAGCTACAAACTAGTGCAGCCTTTGACAACCCTTAAATCAGACTTATCAGTTACAAGCTTTTAATTTTTTGAAGCAAATATCAATCATATTTAATTTTGCTAACTCCTATGACTCAACACTATCTCACTACTTCACAACTAACAGAAAACCTTTTAAATCCACATTGCATCAGTGTTACACCCACTAGGTTACTATTTTATTTTAAAAATTTTGAAGGGCAGGATCCAAAGGCATGTATATTTTTTCAATCTTATTTTCTTTTGACACCCTGGCTGGAATTTAAGTTTCAGCCACGGCTTATGAAAAGAACAAAACAAGCTCATAAGTTCTGTTATAGTATATAGTTTAATCATAAGTATCCAATACTTAAAGGAAAAACTAATTATCATTATTTTTTAATTAGTATTAAAAACAAAAATGTCAAATGTCTCAAAAACACAAGGAAATCAGTAAATTATAGTCACCCACCTGCAGCAGTAGAATGGCAGTCTTCTAAAACTTGCTTTTTCAGGGACATCTTAGTTTAAAAAAGAATTTCGGTAATAAGACCAAGACAAAAAAATTAAATGTATTACTCATTGTTTTGTTTACAACCATTGAATTTTCTACAGTTTTCCTCACAAATAAAACATTATTGAGTAACCACCTATTTTTGAATTAAGAACGACTAAGTTGAAATCCAGCACCCTTACACGCTTACCCATGTTGGTTCCTGGACAGACTCCAAAGTCGTTTGCAAACATATGGTACACCGTGTACTAAACCATACACCCAGCATTATTATCTTCAGTATCATCAACATATTGCAGAGTTAAATACCCCAAGAACAAAAGCCATAGGTAAATCCTTTAAAGAACTTAGTTAAAAAATGGCTCTCCGAAAGCCGAGGGAAAAAGATCTAAGATAAAGTCTCAAATAAATCACGAAGGATATGCACGCATGAGATATACAGGGCAACAAGTACACTGTACAACTGTTACAATTCAAGGTCGTAGTAAGAAAGCTTACGATGAGTATACTAGTCTTTTGGGCTATTTATAGGTAAAGTCAATTTTCTTACCAGCTTTCTTTCCACCCCATTCTTCTCTCCATTCCTTGTTTGTTAAATACCTTGACATAATACAAGTAAAACAAAATAAAACCTCCATTTTATGATCATACCCAGCTGGTTCTATCGTTCTTAACGTAAGGCCGAACAGTGTAATATTTTTCTTTCCCACTTAAAAAAAAACACAATGACCTTCCTAAGCAATCAAACTTACAGCTTATCCTTCTGATGCTGTTTCTTTCCCATTTTTCAGACCAAACTTCAGGCAATTTACCTTTAGTTTTTCTACAGGATCTTCAGTCCTTTATTATACGCCTCCAGTACAATTGATCAGCTGACTTCATGTAAGGCATTTTGTCATGTAGCTCATCATGAAATATATAAGTTCTTAATTAGGTCTGAGAATTAAACGCGCTATGAGTGGAATTACCTGTGAATTTCTACAAGAGAAGCTTCAGAAGGAGCTAAATCCTATACATGTGGTAAGAATACTAAATCATTTTTCACATTTTTGATTCTGTTATTCTCGATGAAATAGGTGATAATTTCACTTCAAGGAATTATTTCACATTTAGCATTGATCTGACTATTGTACAGTTCAAGATGAATTCGAATTGACTTCAGAAAACGTACAAAGAAATCACTTCAAATAAACATTCGATCCTTCAAAATTTTCCCTAAAACGATGAATTACAAAACATTTTGAAACTCTATACAAGGAGATGAGTTATGTGGTGAATTTTGATTCTTCGTTTACTTCAGTCAACCTCTCGTTAACTGTGGATTAAGTCTCCCATGGAATTGAACTTTTTAAGCTCATTAAAACCAACACATGTATTCTCTTTCATTTTTTTACTATACTTCTAAATCGTTCATTTTGAGATGTAGTCCAGAACTCTTTGGGAAAGATTTCTGTATAACCTCATACTGTTCTAACAACAGTCTTAAAGATAGTTTTTTTTTCATTGTTTAATTTGCTATTTTCAATATGATATCTTGCAAACAGGTTATGAGAACAGACAAGCTCATCAGCAAGAGGATGTCATCTTGATTTAATGCCAAATTCTCTTGTCCAATTTACAACCAAATCTATAGAAATTAGAAGGGAGAAATACTGATTGGATCTTGAGAGTTAAGGGTTAACCTTTTCACTCAGGAGTGAAACTCGAGGACCATGATCTAGGTATCAATCCCCTGCTCTGTCTGCCTTACAGTTCTTATATTGTAAGGAGAAATTCATTTTTGGTCACTCCAAGGGGTGTAGTGGTTCAAGATATATTTTTATTTTGATCAGCATGGAACTGAAAAAAAATCAAGATTCACTTTAAATCCAATTTTGTGACCATTAGTATTAAACATATTTTACTTTTTTGAAAATATAGGAAGTAGTTGACCTGTCAGATGGGTGTGGAGGAAAGTTCTCAATACTTATTGTATCTGACAAGTTTGAAGGGAAGCCTCTTCTAGCCCAGCATCGAATGGTGAATAATTGCTTAGCAGAGGAATTGAAGACTATTCATGCACTGACCCTGAAAACAATGAAACCAGCACAGTGGGAAAAACAGAAGGAAACTTAATGCATGGATATTGGAACAGTGGAGTCAATTAGAAACTATTAATAGCCCCTGTGTGAATAAAGAAGACCTGAGTTTGTTCTGTACATCCAAATGACAGTGTTGCACATGTGGAACTATCTAAATATTAGTCTTGGAAAGGAAATAATTTTTGTTCTTCTGATGTATTTGTAAAAAAATATTAATTTAGGTACTTGTAATAATTTAAAGTGGGTTCTCTAAATGAGCTGCATTTCTTAGCTGCAAAATCAATTCACTGTTCTTTGAATATTCACTTCTTACAAGTTCAGAAATTTGTTGATTTGACCAATATGAAACAATTTTGAAGGATAAAAAGATTTTCTACCCATGAATTATCTACCTTTCTTCATATCAAACTTATTTGGTTGGAGACAACAACCCTTCTTGAAAAGCACAATCCTTGCAATTGAAAATTTGTTACACTTTAAACTCACTCCAGCCATACTGAACTTTGAATATCTGGAAAAGCAGATACAAAATCTTGATTACAATGATACCTGGTATTAAAAGATTATTAAGGGATTACCTTTTTTCTCCCAAACTATTCAGAGTTGAGAAGTAAATAATGATAATAGAGTTGAGTGGAGTCCAATTTGGTCTGTAATCATGTGAGTGATGAACAAAATCAGATGAATGCAAAATGGGAGTCAGATTTGTTGATCACAAGTATGATTGCAGACAGAATTGGACAACAAGAAGTCCTGTTACCAATTAATGGTAACCATTTCAATTAAAAAAAAATACACCTAGAACAAATATCTTTAGTGGAGACAATGTCTTTAGTTAAAAATTCCTCCAATTTGTAAATATCCTCTTTTTCTTTGGATAAGTGGGCATTATTTAACAATCCCAGTGTTCAATGTTGGTTTTGAATTTGGTTCTGGTGACGTCATACGATTAACAAAATTACATGTACGACCCCTACAGGTCAAAGTATGTTTTTCACACTGATTCTGCGAAATCTCCATCTCAAACGCAATTCAACCTGCAAAGAATTGTCCATAGCGTCATCGATCACGAAATTCACCTTTCTAACACATTGGGAACTGCTCCAAGTATGTGTTATGAAATTTTCTTTGTTGCGTAAACGGTTACAGATGATGAACTTAAATTTGTCTCGCCTGAAAATTAATCTGGTCATTACAAAAGGAGAAAACGAAGTTATCAGAGTGGAAACACTTCTTAAATTACATCTTTCGAAAGGAATGTAAACTATCGAAACTAGTAGCGATTCTGAAGCCTCGGTGGAAGATGTTGCCGGAAATGAATGTATCTAGAAATTTTGAGTCTTAAAGATATTATACAAACACAAGTGTACAGGCACTGATATTTGACCTTTCATTCTCATTAAATGTTTTTCCATTTCCTAAAAAATCATCAAGCAAATTTGAATTGAAAATTTTTAAAACTGGAGAGTGAAATGTCGGATTAATCTGACTAGTGTGTGAAATCTAGTGTTTGGCGATCCATTTCTGCACAACTAATATCACACTCTTGTCTTTCAGTAAATGGTTTTCTATTTTGAAAGACAATTTTACAACAGTTTTTACTATTGAAAACGTCTGCCTGAGGGCAAAAAAATGAAACAACTTATAAATTATTTCAGACGGACTCGTGTAATCTAATTGATCTTTTTATCTGGCCGCGTCCTCAAGAAACCAAACTCGAATTACGCATATTTTTTCATTAAATTTGTGATTTAAATACAATAAAGCATGAATCTTTTCGCCGCCTGCCCAATCACAACGTAGAATATGATATAATTCGAACGGACGCTAAGAGAGATTTGGCATAAATTTTGGTGTTTTTCCTTTCACCTGTTCATCAGGCAAAAGTCATCTAAGTTCATTCCTCGTCAGGTCTTTTCGCCGTAAACAGAAACATGAGCGAGGAAACATTCATTTTTTGGGGTTCTCATGTCGAAGAATTTCTTAAAGTGCTGGAAGAAATCTGCGTTCCTTCGCGAAGCGTCTAGAACATAATGGAAGGCTTACGGCTTAGAGAACGCAAGAGGTAAACATAAACTTTATTGGCTTGATTCGAATACATAATCGCCATTGGTGGATTGGGAGTGGCGTATTGTTTAATGTTACTCGCGCAGTTCATATCTTCAAACCTCTTTCATCTGCAGGATTTTAGATTTGCCTCGGGAACAAACCGATCACAAAGATCTCTCTCTGTAAGTACAGTTTATGATGGTATAGATTTTTCGCAGTGTTATTTAGTCATGTCAAGTTGTAACGAAAACCTAGGCTTGGAATTGGGTGTGTATTCGAATGTTTTCATTTTCCGCGGGAATGATATGTGATTCGAAAATGGCAGGTGTTGGTGAACATTTGTATTCAAAACTGCTCCTCTTCGCTTTTTACGCCGACTGAGCCCATCAAAATTATATTTTCAAAGTAGTTTTAAGTGTCATACAAAAGCCCCCTTACGTTTTCACTGAAGTTCTTGTCAAGATCTCTGTTCATGAAGACTTTGAGGACCAACATATTCATGATCTATTTTCGTTCTTCGATTTTTTAAGACTAACAAGACAATGAGCAGAACAACGAACGCTTTTGAACACATCTGTTTCTTGAAGACTACTTTAGAGCTGGACCAAAAACCATCAAGCATTTGTAATGTTATTTTTCGATCCGTTGCCTAGTAATGTAATAAAATTTTGATTTTATAATTCTATGATCGATTTCATGAAGTTTCGAGCAAAATTATGACTGATAATTACAAAATTTTGCACACGCTTGTTTGGAAAAATTTCAAATTGTGTTCGTCGAAGGGGATTAGATATTTCGGTAATTTTATAAAATCTCATTCGTGCTTCAAATTTTGATGCAAGTCGGGCCGAGTCAACATCGGTTTTGCGCAAATAAACTGGATATAATGTATAACAATCGCACGATTAGGTAGAAACGTAATATTTCTTCGTGCTGTTTGTATCTGTAGGCTCGAATCATAACGTGAAGACCGTTGATTCGCTCTAAATCATTTATAGGAGGCAGTTTCAGTCATGATGTAATGAAGATCGCAAGATGTTTGAGTAAAGTTAGATTATCATCAGAAATAACTATTGTACCAAGATCCGTACAAGTTGCTTAGGCTTGTATTTGTGAATCAACGATGTCTTTAAATCTAAAGTTTTCTTTCATAAAAAAAATTAACAACTCGTTTGAAGTCTAGCCAATATTTTACGATAAATGTTGTCAGTTTGTAACTGCGAACCTCTGAAATTTGTTTTAAATTCAACATGATCGACATCTGTTTAAACAAAATTCAGACTTCTGAACGTCGTAAATATTTTCAGCTGCAACTAAAATCACGAGAATGTTCACTCATCATAATCTTCCTACTGAAGCCATCAATCGTTATTGCTTGTATCAAAATTTTCTTTTGAACGTCCTGAAATATGGCAAAATGATCTCGGACATCGTCTCTCAATTGAAAGCAATCGTAATGAAATGTTTATGATTTCATTGTAGACAAGCAGGTTGAAAAATAAAATTTTATAATGCGGAGAATCCTAGCTACGTAGTCCCATAGAAATGTGGGTTGATTTCTTACGCGTGCTACCTGAACAGGCAAAATTTTTACTAGACCCTGTTTTTGGCTGCTGTACATTGGCTCAACCCAAAATTCCTGCTTATTGTTACTAAACTATTATCGTCACAACTGATCTCCACTGTAATTTTGTACAACAAAACAAAACAATAGATATCCCTCAAACTCATCCCTGATAGGCTCCAACTTAGGTTTACTAGCCGTTGTAAATCACGTTTGAGAGGAAATTTTGATTTTGACGGAACACCTTTTTGTTAATTAGAGAATGAGAGCGGCATTAACGTCCATTCTTAGATTTATCTATACGTGCCTAATAGGCGACTGAAATTAATGATGTTAGAATTGTTAGCCATGTTGCTAAGCATCGCCGGGAAAGGAAAACTTTGAAACATTCAAACATAAGTAATGAATGGTTTTTATTTTTAGCATAAAATTTTAAACTAACAATTTGCTTTATTGAGCAGTTATTTTTTAAGAATTTGTCGTTGAGAAGGCTGTATCAGAACATGTAAGATCGCTTTCTGCTTCTCTAAAAACCTTCAATGTAAGTAGCGCGGCTCAAAGGTGAAATTTGAAGGGATTACATATTGGTTTTTGGGATTGCAATCGATCACGTAGTATCGTCATATCTGGACTTTTCATCGCGTTATCGCGACCGGACATTGTGGTTTATTGTCATGGAAATACAATCAAACGAAGACAACAAGTTAAATTCATTTTCATTTCATTGGAGACTAGGCGGGGTCCTCGAATATAGAGATGTGCATGAATGCGGAACCTTCCTGGGTAAATCCATTGGAAAAAAGCAAGGAAACAATAAAACAAGTAGGCAATTCAGTTTGGGGTGACACGATTTCACTATCCGCGCTCTGAGGTGATGAGCTTAGGGCTTACTTCAAAAGATGGGTGTCTTTCCATCTTGCTTTCAGCGTTAGTTGCTAGGTGAAAGTATAGAAATAAGCGTCGATTTTGATTTAGAAAAGATCTGATCAAAATGAAAACTATTCCTTTGTTGATAACTTTGGTAAACGATAGTTTTCTGAGAGACCAGCTGTAGTAGGATAATGAGCAAAATAATTCTTAGGATGATTGGAGAACTTTTAAGTAAGATATGAGAGTATAGCAGATATTTTTAGTAATAAAAAGTTCTTTGGAACAGAGAAGTTCATAGGTTGGGCTAAATTAAAAGCCACGTCATGGCTTTTTGATTTGAATAAGACGATTTAAAAAGGAAACGTTCTTATACTTTACACCAGTTAAGGTATTAGGTATTACTGCGTCCTCGTTTCAGCTCGATATCTACAGCTTGAAGCGAGGCCGTGTAATTAGCCCAACCCTTTCGGAAAATAACTACTTGAAAACTTTCTTCAAGCCTCTTTAAAGAAGAGAGATAAAGACAAAAATCCGAGCTGCATTCCAGCTTGCAATGATATTCTTAGTTTCACTTCAAGGGAGTATCAGCAATGATATTCACAAAACTGGCACTTCTGTACAGATCACGGGTACGAACATTTAAAACAAATATATAAATAACAGATCTGCCGACACGAAGCAACTGGATTTTACCCTTTTTCAAGTAGTTCCCCGCATCCAAAAGTTGCTATTTAGTGTTATGAGTTGTGAGAATTCATTGGAATAAACTGTGCCAGCATGCCGTCCATGCACGCGCACGCACTTGATGGAGTTCTAGAAAACAGAATCTCTTTTTACTGTTGTCCGGTGAAGTAACATACCACTGTGAACACAATATAGCGTTTTTATTTAAATGCAGATGTGTATATTATTTCTGATCAGGGCTACTGAGCCATTTACGTACCGAGTACTTTATGCTAAAAGGAGGCAGAAAAAAAGTGCGTCCTCGGTTTTCGCGTGAATTTTGTCAGTATGAGCATGCGCCCATGACCATACATTTCAATTAAGTTTTTAGTCGTCTGTTTCTCTAAACAATAATGGGATTTACTTCAAAGCCGATCAAACTTTAGAGCTCAGCCCTCTTGAAAAATTACTCCAAGTCAAGACTTATTTGTCCCAGCCCACAAGATCAAGAGATATCAGAGCTTTATTCAAATCCAAATTGCACTCGTGTTTGAAATTCTTAACTTACTGCAACCTTGGAGCTATTATAGATTGCTTGGTTCTAAATCCAAACTGAAAGAAGAAAACCGGTGTTGAGCTCACCAAGAATTCATCAACTTCAGAATTTTTTCGTCCTAAAACGGATGTTCGGTATAGGGGAAAACCTTGAAAACATCTCATGGGTTACATAACACAGTGACCCTCTTTCCCATGCTAAGTGATGTGTAGCCGGGTTAAATCGAGGTGACTGGATCTCCCATCCGATTTCAAACTCATCAGTTTATCCGGGATGTGAAAACGAGTGGCATCTTAGGCATGCTAAATTGCGGCCACGAGATGCATGCATATCTCCTCATCGTAGAGAAACTCTTCTTCTTAAGGGAAACAGTTCGCTTTGATGGAACATAACGCCTTCTTTGGATTAAGAGAAGATCAAAAATCCAGATTTCTTGCGCAAATCTTAGATTTTCCCTCGACCACCTAATGTGATGAGTCTGGAAATTTCCGGACTTGCGACACTCATATGGGATGTGTTAATTTTGGCACCATAGATTGTGATAGATGTGACGAGTGATAAAAATGAGACAGATCACAATTCAGCAAATCCGATTGTTTAGAGAATCAAAGTACAGCATGTGGCAACTTTCATAGTTTACTTCCGATCCAAATGCGTGAGTGTATGTAAATATCCACTCGCGAGAGGAGGTGATTTTAGTTTGCGGGCAAAAACAGATCGCTTACGGTAGATAATATTGACCGCGCTTCCGTTAAAAACTTGGTCAGCAGTCAGTCTTTTATATTTTTCTTCGCTCAAACATCTGTAGTGAAATGCTGGCTTCTTTCGGTGAAAGGGAACCGCGAAGGTTAGTGTGATCGATTTTAACTATTATATTTCGTCTACGTAGAAAGCTGTTTGTTTTTTGTTGATCTGAAATGTTGAAATGGAATGTTTTGTTTTATTTCGTGTATGAAAACACAGTCAAGGATCGCTCTTAAAATATTCATCGACACAAGCCTTTAGATCTTATCATCTAATCGCCGTTCACATTTCTCGTGATATTTGTTTTTCGTTTGCACTCTTCTCGCAAGAATCAGATAAATTTTAACCGTCTCTTAGGCTAAAACTGGAACTTTCTTTTAAGTGTTTTTTTTATAGATCATATCTGTGCTTAAATGAATCCCTATCGAAAGCAAGGTCGATGTAGCTTGCTAAATATAAATAATATAAATTAGGAATCACAGAGTTGTGACAGCGGTTTCTGAAAACAACCTGTTCGGTTTCACTGTGCGCAAAGACTTTTAGTGTACTGTAACCAATCAATTTCATTCAATTTTTGTTTGGTTTTCGATAACTCACCGTTTTTGAATTGAACCTTTTTTACGCCATTACATTTTTTGACACCAAAATAGACATTACACCATTTATGCAGCCGCCGAAGGGTAAACATGAGCACAAGCCTTGAGGTTTTTCGATTCTCCAGTTTTTATGACTAATTCATGTGTGTTGTCCATTTTGCAATATTCAGCCTCAGAGTTCTTCATAAGCTTGAACTTATTATGAAGACTCTTTGACCGCACAGTGATGAAATCTGACAATCACCTGATATAAGACATGTTTAGACCGGTCGGCTCAAATGTGGTTGATATACCGACACAACGACACTAATTTCATTTTTTGCATAATCATCGCACCGACAAATATTCAAAACAAATCTACAGTTGTCTCTTCTCCTTACATGCTAGTATTGTTAATACTAGTTTCTCTTTTTTCCTCGTGAGTATTGAATGACTTTATAGGCTAAGTTGAGCAGCCAATATTTTTTGCAAAGTCAATAGGCTCTTGTACTTGGGAGAGGGGATTGGTGGTTGAAAATGTGTATGAAAGAAAGCATACTTGTCATCTGAGGGAGAAGGGGATAATGACAGATCTGTTTTTTCTTTTTAGGACCTCTCTGATCATATGACTCATTTTGATCTTGGGAGAGGGGTGGTGGTTGAAAATGTGTATAAAAGAAAGCATACTTGTCATTTTTGGGGGTGGGGTTTAAGTTAGATCTGGCATTTTTTACTAGGATGGGGTGAGGTACACTTTGTTGCTCTAGCAGAGTTTCTGCAGGAATGGAGCATCCATCTTGATTGCATATGAAAAACAATTTTTACTGAAAGAAATTTTAATATCTAACTGTTTTGCTTTTAATCAGGCCATTTCTGCAAATGAGATGCGGACTGAAACTTTCATGCGGCTTCTTACACGACCTCCCAACCTCTTGGGAGGAATTGTTCCTCTTGATGTTTTTTAACTTGTCAGCTGCGAGTCAGAGAGACTCTTGGCTTCAAATCTTTCTCACCTGCCAGTGGCAGCTGTTCAAATGTTTAAATTTAGATTGCTATTTTAATCAGGTATTTGGAAAAACCGTAAACTTTTTATAATTTGTCAAAACTGAAAAATTCTCAGAAAAACCCAGGGGCCCCGTATCAACATAAGTTTAATGGAGATCGCACACTGGCCTTGGGATATGGCTGCTGTGTTACAAATAAATCAGAAAATTAAAGAGCCATAATATGAAAATATAAACGTCAGTCATTGCAACTCGTTTCATTATGTTTTGGCATTTTAAATCGTTCTGACTTAAAATAAATCAACTTTTTATTTTCAAAGCTGTTGTTATCTTCCTTACTGTGGTTGTTTCGGTTATGTACGTGCTTCTCGTCGATGCGTTCATGATTCGTGTCAAAGATAAGTCAGATACAATTTAGAGCCACGCAAATTACGAGTCATTTGCATCTCAATTTTATATACGGAGTCTAGCGTAAACAACCTTAAAAATAACTTTAGCTGTAATTAAAGGTATACTTCCTTTTTGAATGAGATTTACAGTCGTATGTACCCAGTTTCAAGGGGTCTCCAAATGAGTTTGGCCCTGCTAGTTCTAGAATTTACAAATGGTTACTTATTCTGAAATTTATTGAAAACTTAGTTATCTTAATACTCTCTTTCCGCGCGCTATTGATTCTCATTGTGAAAGGCTGTTTTATCGCTGACACGCAGGTCAAAGGTCTGTTTGGAGTAGGCAATATCAGCTTTTGGAAAATATTATCAGATCGCAATGTTGGCCTCGAGTCTCAAGTGTGATCACAAAAAAATATGGAATTATGGCAGGCAAGGATAGAGTTTCTCATACTTATGTCATGTGGGAAACGAAATAAATTTCACCCTATTACTTTGCTTTGTAAATTAGTTTCTTATGTCGCGAGAAAAAGTGCGACTAATTCTATGAAACAGATTGTGGTGGCAATATTGTAGCTTGAATACAACGCGCTTAATTGTGAAAAGCTTTTGAATTGCAAACTTCCTGTACTTAAAACAATAACAAACAGAAACTCGTTTGACGAGGCAGGTTCAGGAAAAGCTGATCCCTGATTGGCTGTTTTAGTGCGTTCAGGTCATGGTGCTTCCGCTGTGCCAGAAGTGGAAGTGAAATTTGTCGCGGAAACTACTCATTTGCATAACTCGTCTCTTTGTCAGCATGCATTCAGCGAAATTTTTCAGTGAGCCTGCTGTTATTTACGAGCTGATCTAAGTCACGGAGATCGGCTGCGAAATTTTGTTGTGAGCTCTTGAAGATCGTTCGGCACTTCCGCGGTAAGCTTTAGGTAAGTAACACGCGTTTCGTTTGACACCAATGTTTGGGCGCGTGTAAACTTCTAAACTTCATTCAGACTTCTGTTTTCTTTGCGTTTAGATTGTTTGAATACAACTAGAATCGATTTAAACGCCTTGTCTGTGTGCGCAGATGACATCTAAATCGTACTTTATAGTTGCCGAGTTGAACGATTTCGAGTGCGTTCAAATTTTATTGTGGGTCTTTATTGTGGATGTAGCTTGGTTTGTTACTCGAAGCAGTTCTTGAAAATCAGGCTGGAAAATTATTCGAATAGGATAGAAGGCTTCTGTGACGTATTTTGCATCTTTTCTTTTGTTTGGGATATCTGGTTATTTGAAATTGTGAAAAATTTGTGAAGTGCAATCGAAACAGTGGAAATTTCCGTTGAATTTGTGTTTACATTGATGCGAAGATGAGCTCCACGCACATGCTTGTAAACAGTGTCAGTGCATTTACAAAGGAACTACAGATGGGTTTGAGTGAAAACAGCGAGACTTAATTAGCGATTTTCTGAGAAGCGGTGTAGACTAAAACGATACGAAACGTGCTTTCGAAACTTTCTGCTTTCCACCTGAGGCAAAAAGAAACGGCGCTTGTTTCCTATCCTCTCGTCCTTTTCACGTGTATCGATATCGACGCATATTGGTTTGTAACAAATGTTTCCATATCCTTAAGCAGATTGTGTGAAGCTGGAGAAGATTTCTCATTGAGTAGCCGAGATACCTTTAATATGAAATCAAACCACTACACTTTGAGGCGAAAGTGAAACTTTTGATGTACATAAGTACGCTGGAAAAAGAGTGAGAACTGGTTGAAAACGTTACTTGTAGCTTATGCCCTTCATTATGCATTAGTGAAATTTATCACCTGTCAAAATTACTATCAGACGGATATTTGTATAAAAGCCTACTCTAAAACTGTCTGATAAAACATTGTCTCAGGACACACCTAGTATTTATTTTGTCCTAGTAATTAAACGCTGACAAATTTTTGCGCTGCCTTTCGAATGTCCATTACAGAAAATTTCGTACTTGTCGCGACTTTCTTCTGAATTATAATAATTACTATTATTATTTTTTGGCGCTCATATATTATGCAACGCATGGTCGGTCGCACCCAAGTGGTCAAAAAATATGAGTATTGTCTTCTGTTGGGTTTGATAGGTTGTGTTGCCAGGCATACTTACAGCAAGTCATATCGCCGAATGTAAATAAGGCTTCAGTTTGACAGTTTTGATTCAGTCATCTGTATATTTAGAACAAACCGCCAGACAATTGCATGGGTGGAATATGAAGGAAATTCGAATGACTTTTTCGCGATTATGAGAATTGTGGAAGCCAATACTTTACAACTTGTCGGTGACTGGTGAATTGTGGTTGAGGTTTATGTGTATTTATTGCGGCAACGTCAGAATGGTCAGAGTGAGGGAAATTCACCATCGCTCTACTTTTTTTTAATAACGCGAATTTAGGAAGCATGGCCGTGATGGTACAAACGTTGTTTCGAATGCAGTAAACGGCAAGAATATTTGATGATCGTAGTTCTGAACTGTCATATACCTGTCAAACGAACGAACGATCTCGGGCGAGCGAATTGCAGCCGCATGGAGAAATGGCGTCCTTCTGGGAAAAGTTGGCGCAGCCGTAAGTATCAGGAGATAAAACACTAAGCGCATTTTATTATCACGAGTGAGAAGGGCGATTTAGCTTACCATCGACAGTTCTGATCGTTAAATACAAAAGTTTAATTTTGTTTGCGAATTTATTTTGGGACAGATATTTCGACAAGCCAGCGAATATTGAAGCGCACTTGACTCTGGAAAAGTACAGTTTTGATAATTTTCTTTACATAGCTCTCTATTTTACGTGTAGTTTTATGAAAGACGCGTCAAATCGTCACAAAGAAGTCGAGATTACGAAATTATAGTTCTTGATATTTTGGACCGTCAGCTGAAGAGGCTTTTAAAATTTCTGGAAACTGGCGAGGCTGATATTTCAATATTGTTTTGAATTTGAAAGCTATTTATCAGCAGCTGTCCGATATGTTCTCGTATTCTGTCATTTCTTGAAGTATCTTGGAATCCTCGTGTGTGTATCCACTGCCAGGATCTCTCTGCAAGATGTATTTGTTTATCAAAACAAAATATTCTTGACCTAACTCCCTTAAAGTTTTGCTATTTCATCGAGATTGGAACGCGAAAATACTATATTTCATGCTGAGAGAGAAGGCGGTTGGGTTAGCGAAATCAATTCGTAAACGCTTTTGTGTTGTAAATGGATTGAAATTTTCAATCAATTTTAAAGGCGCTGATAAAATCCAAAAAGGTTTCCATCTCTACAATTTAAAAATTACCGAAGTGTTTAAAATCGTATTGTGAGGGTTTGTCATGGGGGCACGAAGACACAGATTTACATTATGCGGTTTAAGCTGTTGATATTATTCACCTCTGCCTTTAAATATTCTTTCCACGTAGAATATTTTATTCTACGTTACAGGTCAGAAATTATGGTTTGGGAATGTATTGCAGATTTATAAAGTTATCCCTTTTCCTTAGAGAAATTGTTGCTCCATTTTTCTAGAGTGCGCTTCAGACGTTATCAATATCGCCAACATGGTGCATTTTATTTTCATTTTGATGGAGGATGAATTTAAAATTTAGGCTGAAAAAAATTTAGCTCATCATCAGCAATGTATATGAAGTAGTTTTGGTGTAAAAGCTTTTCTTCGTAGCAATTGTTTACTTTGTTTGCCAAAGTTTTGGTTTTCCTGTTATCGGAAAACAAAGCAATTGAGTTATCAAGCTTACTATAGATATTATAATTAGGAATCGACGACTTTTATAACAAGTGTAAAGTTCGTTCTATAATTTATACGAAGCTGTCGTCTCGCAACTCAAATCAGTTTTGACTTTGTCGGAGAGTTTGTGTAAATTCTGGCAAGAGAGCGTGTGTTTGATTGAAGGCGGAATGATTTAAACCACCAACGCTTTTGTTTCAACGCCAAAGAAAACAACACGCGTATGCAAATGTACAAATTCAATTTCATTCATAGATTTCAAGGATTAGTATTTTGTTGGGTTACTTAAGAATCATCGATCAAAGTTATCTTTAGATCATTGTCCTGACTTCCACTATAGACCGCTGCGTTCTTTGTTCACAGTTGGTTATTATTCTTGTGTTTTACCTTGCTCAACATGCTTCCATTGTCAGCGTAATTTGGGATTTTTACACGTGTTTCCAATTCTCTTACACTGCCGCAAATCAATTAAGTTCCAACCCCGCGGAAGCGCCTATTAGAGAAATTCTTTCCAAACTTTTTTCGAGTTCTTTCTAAAACTTTTATCAAAGTTACGCCTTCTTAACGAAGTAGTCATTTACTTTAGTGAATTAAACTCTATTAAGTGATTAAACGCTGTCATTGTCTTTTCAAGTAATTTGCAAGAAATGTTTTCAGATTAGATTGGCACGTTTTCAAGGCAAGCAAAACAGCTTGAGGGCCTTTAGAAAGTTGATCGTTTAATTTTCGCCAGTTCTGTTGTTACTTTGCATTTTTCATATGTATGGGCACATGGCAGAACTTTACAACTTTAGCGTGCATTTGTTCTAGTCCTTTGGAAAATCAACAGAAAGGCTTTGTAATTTTGTCTGGTTATATTCTAGAGACTATATTTAACGTCTCCTTGTGATTGAACGATTTAATGATGCACATAATCTGAGTTTTTCACCTCAATATCGGAGATATTCATCTCAGTGGCGTTGGTAATTTAATGACATTTTTTAATCTACTTGCGTGCTATGTTTAGGTTCGGGGGTGAAAATGTTTGTTTGGTTCGAGATTTATCCCAGCCTTTTATTAGTACCAGAAAAGATCTGTGATGACAAAGGATCAAAAATGTATGAACTCATAACTGCTTGGGATGAAATAAAGGGAAAAAACAACAAAAGAATTTAATGAAAGAGGTTTAACTAATCCTTTAAGTGAGCGACTTGCAAACAACCATGACTGTTTCTTGCCAGCCAACAAAATTAATTGCCTTTGTTTTTTTTTCTCAGTCTCCCCGAACCATCGAGCAGAGCACGGAACGCGTCCGCCATCTTTGGTGCCAGCCCCAGCTTTGGAATATCACCTGTACCCCAGATTCAGTTTAGACCAGCCCCGCCCAAAAGAGTTCCTGAACCAAAGAAAGTCCGAAGGAGCAATAGTGATGTAGCGCTCAGAAAAAGACCTTATCTTAGGCGTAGGTCAGGGGACTTCTGTCAAGCTCAGAGAAAACGCAGCGAGAGCGAAAGTGATAATCGTCTTAACGGAGTGAACTGTAACGGAACAACTGCATCAGAATCCAAATTAAGCAGCGGATCAGGCAGTGATTGTATTGATACTACAGCTGATAGTGTGTGCTCATTACCAGAGCAGTCCCACGATTCGAACGATTTTTCAAGTCGCTATCCGCTATTTATATCAGTCAACAACGGTTGCCAAGCGTCAAATAAAACACGCATTGTAAAACCAGTCGCTAAGTCAAATCAGGGCGGTTTTAAACAGGATAACGCTCAGGATAAGAGTTGTGCGCGACCGAGACGCAGCGCCAGTTTTTCTACACCTAAAAAACCAGGACCGGCCTCCAGGTCTCCTCAGACGTCTCAAGACTCTTTTAGAAACGGAAGCCTCCGCCGCGAGAAAAGTGACATTGTTAGACCACGTCGAACGCAATCACCAGCTAATAATAACAACTCTACCCCGAGTAGCGCGCGATCAAATTCATCCTCTAATCTAAAACGGGAAAACGGTACTATACCGAGCCCGCGTTCACAATCGCCAGCCGGACTTCAACGTGAACGTAGTGACATCACTAAAAATCGTGCGTCGCCGAGTGTAAGGAGAGAAAAAAGTGACATTGTCCGGCCGCGAGGTAAATTAAGAACTAATTCGCCAATTGCAACCCACGAGGATACAGGAAGTAATATAAATAGAACATCTAGTAATCGAAGTTTAACTTCAAGTTCGTTGAGTAGCTCTCCTTCTAAGTGTTCAATAGAGAGTAGTCGCTCCCGCTCGGGAAGCAGCAGTGAGATGTCGAAGATTCCATCGCTCGTTCGGTCGCCAGGAAGCGCTGAAAAAACAGACTCGCACGTTTCCCGCATACCTTCAATCACAAAGAAAAATGGCGCTGAGGAACGTACTCCTCCGAAGAGCAAAATTCCGTCCTCAAATAAATCCCAAATACCCACAACAGGACGTAAGGAGGGCGCTTTGCAGAAAGACAAGACAGGAGGCAAAATATCTTCATCAGCAACATCCTCACACAACAGACCTGATTCTGCTAAAGAAAATAAAGATCCTACAAGTGTACCAAATGGTCATGAACCTGCCAAGCAAGTCAGTAAAATTCCGTCTTTCTCCAAGTCTGGTATTCCCAAGTCTAGAATACCCTCCGTGACTCGCAAAGACAGCCAGAATGAAGGGCAGGCGGCGCAGAATGGAGGAGAGGCACATTCTCCTGTTACTGGTACCCAAAGTAAGATACCCAATGCATCTTCCTCCCCTCAGGGGAGCGGCATTCCTATGGGTGTCAGCCGCATTCCATCCTTTACTAAATCACCGTCAGCATCCCCTGGAACTAAAATACCCCAATCAAAACTTTCCACTGTGGTAGGATCCAAAGCTACAGAACCGGATGGACCCCCCGAGAACTCGTCATGCACTCCAACAACCCCTTCCACACCGTCCGATACGACCCCCGAGTCAAAGGTTCCTACAGCAGGAGGGTCCAAGATTCCAGAACCTAAAATCGCCGCTAAGTCTCCATCAAGTTCCCTTCCAATCGCATCGAAGACAAGTGGGATTCCGAAGCCTGGCGAATCGACACCATCCAGCAAGATTCCAGGTCATGCTGGCGACAAATTAACGCGTAAAACCTCAAGCGCAGAGAAAGAAACCGTGCCTACTGGTAATCCTACAGCGGCGTCCTCGCCCGTGGAGAGCAAAATTCCTTCGTTCCCGAAGCATGCAGCCACGCAAAAGTCCGTGGGGAACTTACCCAATGAACACGAGCAGGCTGCCTCTAAGCCCAGAACAGGAATACCAACTTTTGGTGGTAGGCAGCCTTCTTTCGACAAGGAGCCTGCTACCCCTCCCAGTACTCCAATACGAGAAAACTTCTCTTCAGAATCGCCACTGGATAAGTACATTTTCTCCGAGGCGAGGAAAATGGAACAAATATTTCGCGATGAGCCCATTGAAGTGGTTGTACCGGCCGCAGATTTGGAGGAGGACGAGGAATTCTTGAGACAAGAAAAAGAAATCGAGGAACTTGAAGAGAACTCGCATGACTCGGAGCTGCAGATGCTGGATTCAAAAGAAGCAGAGGATTTAATCAGTGAAGTGTTGAAAAGTTATGCTCCCGACATCAACACAGAAAACCAACTTGAACTGGATGATAGTTACGTTTTCTCCGTGAAGGGTGACAACAAAAACTTTAAAGAGAAGGTCAATATTGATGACATTGTTCTTAAACCCGCCAGCAACGAAAATGAGTCACCAAATGAGACGAAAATTGTGGAAAAACTGTCAACGAAAGAAGATGTAGACGATGGGAAAGCCAAACTTGGTATCAAAGATTTAATGGCTGGAAAAGATGTTGTCCAAAATGGCGCAGATGTCACAGAGGAAGCAACTAAAAACAAGGAAAAGGAAACTGCCATATTGGAGAACAAGAAAAAGACACCAGATTTGAAAATTTTAATGCCAACTGAAAAGGTTGTTGAAAGACAAGTTGACGAAAAGACTGAGAAAGAGGCTACAAAGAACGAAGGACCCGCGATTGACACATTGGGTGAGTACGCTCAGCATGCCAGGCGCTCGCGCAGTCGACAACGAAAAATTGTAAGTCCTGATTCAGAAGAACCTGGGTTTGTTTCAGAACCTGAGAAGGAAGTTGAAAAAGAACCTGAAAAACCGAACGAAACAGAGAACATCAAAGAGCCACCCAAAAAGGACATCAACAAAGACAAATTCGGAAAAGCTCCGTTTGAAAGCGAGAAGAAACCTAAAGTTGAAGCCTCAAAAACGACAAAATCGAAATCAAAGAACGACAAGCCGAAGTTCCTGATTGAATCGTCGCTCGGGAAAGATTTTTACGCCTCTCGGAAATCGAATGAGAGTGTCGAATCACGAGATAGTATTCATGATGATGTCGTGAAATCTTCGTTCAAACCCGAACTTTCCGCGCTCGTGTTTGAAAATAAAATCGTGGAAGAAATGTACACGTTAAAACAGAAAGAATCACCGGTTGAAGAAGCCGTTAGCTTAGAGGAGGCAGTGTTTGAAGACGTTGATTTGCTGTCAGAGAAAAGCTTGAAGAATGAAAGGCGAGAAATTACACGGAGTGTTGACGAACTTGACGAAAAAACTGTAAAATGCATGGGATGTGGACGAGGTGGAAAGTGTTCCATTATGTAGTTGAAACAAGTTGGAATTCTGGGGTTATTTTCGATTTCATCGTTCAATTAGTATTAAAATGAGTAACCGCCATGCATTTCAAGTGTCATCTCTTTTAAAAGAAAACTTAGTTGTATCCCTTCGTGTCGGTGTTTGAAAAAAACCGGGTTTGAGTGAATTTGTAATGAAAATTTGCTATTAAAAACTATTTAATCGTACTTTTGTGTCACTTTCTGAACTTGTGAACAACTTTTAAAAATTCGCCTGGCGTTTGAAGAATTCAAGGTTTTGTTGGTCGGGTGTTCCCGGACAATGCCACCTTTTACGTTAACGTGAGAGAACTGGGCAAGAGATTAGGTTTAGTTTCTAAATGGGTTAAATCTCATTTGCAGACGGTTTTAGACACGTCACGCAACGCTACTTGAACCGAGCAAAAGCGATGAAAACCATCAAAATCTTATAATGAATATTGCACCGTCCTGTCACCTGTCGTCTAGTTCTTAATCCAGGGTTTTGTTGTGAGAGTTGAGCTGACTTCATCCCTGAAAAAAATTAATTTATTGTTATGATGACATAAACCTTGGTATGTCTGGTATTTGAGATTCGAAGTTTTAGTGCTAACTCGGATCTTTCGGTTAGACACGAAGTCCCCCAAAAAGAGACTTTGATGGTTGGTTCTTCGGGAAATCAAATGTAACCAAAGCTCCGATTTCAGAGCAAATTTACGTTCTGTAAATGCGTGATCGGAAGGTTTTTGCGTGACATCTGCGTGATCACATCCGTGACCTAACTCACGTGATGTGTAAGCGTCAAAACGAGACTAAAGGCAACTCATGCTTCGACATAGAGAACGCAAATCGCTTCGAGGAGGAAGATTTGAGATCAATCTCTTCTTTGAGAAGTTTTAGAGAGCTGTAGTGGGCAGTATTTTGAATCAAGAAAAAACTTTCCCTGAAGTTTTTTAAGCATTAAGAACGAATAGATAGTAAAAGTGCCGTACAGAAAGGCGAGGAACAAGTCGTGACGTGATTACGCTCGAACATTGGTGTGTTGTACTGATCTGAGATAAAGTATATATATATGGCAGCAAGTGGATCAGAAACGCAAACTATCGAAAACGTTGATCTTAAAGTTGATGATAATCCAGATGAGGATCATATCGATATCGAAATAAAACAAGTTACAGAAGAAACAACTCCATTAAAAGCTGATAGTAACGATGAGGAACTGGAATTTGGATTTGGAAGAGACGAGCCAGTCTTTATCACAGATCAGGATGTTGCCGATTATTCGGAATCGTCGATGGAAAGATCAACAGAACTTTCAGCAGACGCCAAAAAGGCGTACGAAGAATGGATCTATGTAGACATGAACAAGACTACCCACGAAGTGAACGAGAACTTGCTTCTTTTGAGTTCAGTTTATGGAAAAGATCAAGTATGTTGTTGTGTTATGTGAACTAGAAGAAGCATTAATTTATTTCTTGATCAAGTAAATCCACGGAAGGTTCCTTGATTTCCATCGTTTAGATTGCAAAACGTAGAAGTTGTGAAAAAGCGGTATGAGATATATTAATTTATTTCATTTCAAAATGACCTCAAATGTCAAAAAGATGAAAGTAGATACTAAAGTTGCGTCATACATGGGAATTGGGCCAGAGAAAGCCTTGTATATCTTTTATTGGCGAGGGAAAGTAGAGAAATTGTAATAGGTACATTTACTATTATAAATAAGTACTTGCTCTTTAGATAGATTGTCAAGCAAACTCTCTAGGTTTTGTAAAAGAGGGCAAAGACTGGATAGATAAGGATCTTATGTTAACAACTGTTCCATTGTTGTTCCGATACAAAGCATGTGACAGTACTCGAGAATTGGTTGCGCTAATGCTTAAAGCACATTTGATATCCGAAAGGGGAGGTATTAAATCCTTTGAGGATTTCAATTAGGCAATAGGCTTATGACACAATTATTGGCTAGCTAGTTTCATGGAAAACACATGATTTTACTTGTAACCTAATAGTGCAGTTAGCCCTATTAAATAAGTTTTCCTCAGGGTACTTACTAGTTTATTTTATTAACTGAGACCGGTACTTCAAGTGACTAAATGATTGGTTTATTAGAGGTGCATAAAATTTAATTATAATTTTCAAACCAAATAATGAGCAATATCATGATGAGAGATAGGAGTGGCTCTGGTCACTTTAGCTACTGGGATTCCCTGTGCTTTTAAAGAAGTACCATCAGTTTTTCAGTGAAAATTCTAAATATGTTGTAAGTATTTGAGTTTGTCTGAAAAATTGTTCCCTCTACTGGTTTTGCTTGTGACTCGAATGCACCCATCCTAAAACAACTGCCAGAACTATTTATGTAGAATTTCCAAGAGGGTACAATTTTCTATCACAAGGGAAATGTTAATTCTGCTCAATTAACCCTTTGACTCCCAAGATCTGATCATTAACTCTCTCCTCTTGCTTCTATACCTTTCCTTGTGAATTGGTTACAAGAATTTAGTGTTCCATCAAGATACTATCTTGTACTTGATAAGTTTGAGTAATCTCACTACCTGTTTACTGGATAATGTTTGGATACTATAGGAAGGTGTTTATCATTTCTGGGAGTTAAAGGGTTTGATAATCATGTTTAAGTTGGAAAGTATAAATCATATCTCCTTTGCAGCTTCATCTGCACCAGGGACATAAAATTATTATTTGATTACTAATTGTACCAGGGACATGGCTAGCCACCAAAAAGAAACATCCGCTTTGTCTAAGTTTTTGAAGGAACTAAAACTTTAGTTTTATTATGTACAGCATCAAGTGTTATTGATTTCCACCTCCAGTGACTTAATTAGGCAATAAATATCAGCGGCCTGATAAATTTAAGAAAAGTTTGTTCAAAATTGATCAAATTGTGTTACTAAGATAGTTATCTGAACCCTGATATGGAAGTTATGGTGGTTTTAGGGAAGACTTTAATAAAATTATTATGTCTGTAGCAAGAAACCAAGCCAGTAATAGACTTTGATATTCTGTAACCTTTTTTGACAATAACTTTAAACTGTGTTGTGTTCATTGAAGTTACATTATTCACACCACTCTGTGCCTTAACCCTGTAACCCCTAAGAGTGACTAGCATCTAATTTCTCTTTACAGTATCACCCCTGAGTCACAAGGATAAAAAGAAATGAGAAAAGAGGCTCGTGATTGTTAAACAAATTCTCCTTGTCAACACTTAAGGAAATGTATAGAGAACAGTATGGAGACTATGCATACTGATGTCAGGTTGTAAAAGGATAACTATACATACCAAGAGACAATTGTATTCACACACCCTGTGCTGCAAGAGTTTATATTTTGCCCTCAAGGTAAATGTGGAAAAAGTGCATTTTTTAAAATATTTTCCACCATTATAATATAGGAATTTTTGCACTTTCTTATCCTTGCAGAATGGAATAAAAGGAGGGGTACATGAGGGGGTATGGGAGGGGGGTAGGGGAGGAGTGAGTAGGGGAGGAGGTAGGGGAGGAGGGTAGGAAAGGACAGGGCACAAGAGGGGAGTAGGGGAATAGCAGAGAGAACTTGTTGAGGGGGATGTTATCACTCCAAATAATTAGCATACGAAATCTTAGGGGTTTTCTGCCACGTGCACAATTAAGTGTAGGTTGTCAAGTTCATTCGCCAGTATTTTAGGTACTTCCGTTAAAATATCGTGAAATTACGAGAAACTTACCATCGGTTAACATTCCATCGACAATATTGACTTTAAAGTTGGGTTAAATTACGTTTCACGAGCTGAACTGAAGTTACAGATGAATAGAAAGCTCTCTTTTATCCTTTTTCGTTTTGGTATTTCTTTCTTCTTTTATCCCGAAGACGTTAGCCTTGACTTTCTTGTCAACCGAAGAAGCCTTGTGATATCAGGTCTGTCAGTAACGCGCATGTTACACTTGTGGTATGTGGTTGTGATAAAATTTTACGCGCGCGACACTCACTCGGGTAAAGTTCAGTTCCTGTTTATACCCGAGGTTATCGATTCACTCTCTAAGTAATTGAACGAATTCGTAGTCGACCTTCGTTGTCTAAACGGAATTCCATAGGAAGAAATGGTAAGTACAGTGAAAAATTTGAAAAATATCTGTGCTTTTAATTTGACTTAGAAGTGATAGGCGTACCAAATGTAAACAAATGAATTTAGTCACGAGTAAGTCACGAGTAAGAAACGAAGAGAAAGGGAATCAGTACGTATTTTTATCCTCCACTCATGAATAAGAAACAAGGAAGTGAAATTAGCAATAAGGTGTTGCAGTGAAAGATGTAAGACTGTTGCTTCAGATGATTCAGAGATCGTGAGCTAAATTAAAGTTTGTAGCTTAAGTAGAAATCCGCCAACATTGCATCAGGCCGCCACTAATAGCAGTATACTTTGCACATCAGAAATATCTGCCCAAGCCGTCTCGTACAGGTACGCTTATCTCTTTCCATATATTAATCTTTGAAAATCTTGCGTATCCTTCTTCGAAAAAGAGTCGTTTACTCAGAAGTATTTCGTTGTAACGAACGCATATTTAATATGGTTTCCAGTCCAAACTTCGCGACCTTTCACGTGTTAAACTTCAATTCAAACTTCGCGACAGGAAGTCCAACTTGTGTTTTGAATTTTAAGAGTGAAAACTTTCGAAAAAAATAGCATTTTGCAGCAGTTTAGCAATACTTGATTGAGAGCATTTTGTTTTTTTTATTCTAGCCCTAACCCTGAAGCAAAAATTTCTTCAGTTTTACGTTGTGTGCAATACCGAACTTGAAAGACCTTTACCTTGCAAATTAAATTACTGATCGACTTTTATCGACTCGGAATTTGTCCTCCAAATTTAGTTATGGAAACGATTGTTTGATAATATTCTTCCCTACTTC